CACGTGGCGTTGAGTGATTCGCCGCCAGCGACGGCAGATGGACGCCAGCAGCAGAGTGTACGCTGCGTCTGCGGAGGCGGGAGGGGGGTTCGGCAGGGTAGTGTCTCTTTGCCCGTAGAGAGGCTCTTCAGGCGTAGCGTTTACGTAAATGTACTTAGATCGAGGCGACACGATGTTCCACGAATTATCGCAAGAGGTTGGTCGTTCGGGAGGCCAGAAAATCCTGACGAGGATATCGTCTGGAAGATCGTTAATGTGAGTAGTTCCAGAGTCCATACGCGCCATGTCTGCATCACAAATTTGTTCGCCCCCCGTACTAAGTACTTATAGGTTCTTCTATATTGTAGATACGGAGCTTTATAGAGTAAATTGCTTGTAGCAGAACCTATAAGTACATAGTACAGGAGCGAACATTTTTGGGATGTGTAAGAGCTCGCGTGCACTTTCTAAGCCCTCAGGAAAAGAACTGGCAGCGACTGAGTAAACAACAGCTTAGGCTCCAGAATTTAGGCTCGATCGGAAGGTCAGTCAATTCTGTCCATCCTGCCTATTACTAGGCAACAACTTCCTACGCCTGAATGTCAGCTCCGAAAAGGAGTCGATCCGTTGCTGCGACAGGCAGTTCCAGGTAGAGGAGGCTCGCCTTTCGTCCGACTGCGACTCTGCGACTCTAGGTGCGACTTTCGCTTTGGAATTGAACCCACCACATGGAGCAGCACGCACACGTGGCTTTCTGCGGCTGCTGCACCCTGCATGCTCGCTCACTGCGCACTGAGCATGCGCTGTACTCCGCACCTACCATTGACCTGCTCCTCACGAGCCATGCGCTGCAGCTGGCATGATGCTCGCTCACTCAGGGCGATCCATTTCCGAGGCTCCTCGAAGGTAGCATGATGCTCCCACTCACCCGGCTCTGCGCTTCGGGCAACGTCTACTACGATTTTCGTGGGAGCATATCGCGGGTCCCGTGAATCATCTCGTGGCATGATCATATCGCTGCTCGCAGTGTGATCGTTACAGCTTCTAACACACTACATGGCATGATCGTAAGGTCGATACGTACCTAAATCAGGTTAACAAACCTTCTCCAGCCGATCGGGTGCAGATGAAAAGGGTTCACAGATCCCAAGGCCAGCTTTTCGAAGAATGCAGCCCCTAGAGTCCGAGAGCGGATCTCGTCTATCGGTTGAGAATTGTGTCAGGAAGCAGTTGGCCCCCTCCCGACCAGGCCTTCCGCAAACTCCAGCATCCAACCGCACAGGTAGGCCCTTCATGTGGCCTTCCCACTAACAGCCACCGCAGAAAAACATCGTTATTGCTTGCACTTCGCTATAAGGCAGTAATCAACCAGGCAGCAGCTGCCCACAAAAAGTACATCGGTCTTTCGCCATCCATTACAATTTTACCTGTATCCGCAAAAAAAAAAAGACTATGACCAGCAGTTGCACCAATCGCTGCGCCAAGATTGTGGGCAAGCTTTGTAAATCCATCCCCTCCCCATCGCTGGGTATAAGCAACAAAATTTGTTATCTACGGCACTGAATCCTACTCAGAGAACGACACCAAATGACTGATTCGAAGCCCCCCGCGAACCTGCCACCATCCATGGTGTTAGCAGTGCCTGTGTGTGCAAGGAGAGGAGGTGTGTACTGCTCGCTGGAGTATGCTGTTGGAAAGAGGTGCGATGCGATGCTGTGACGCAGCGAACGATGACGGTTGAGTCACTGCCTCAGAGGTGTGGAGGGAGGAGGAAGTGAGGAGGCCAGGAGACTTTTGAGTCGACTCATAAGTCACCTTGTGGAGGGAGGAGGAGGCGAGGAGGCATGCCGGTGGTTATTGCAGCATGCCATTGGAGAGCGGTGTGACGCCTTGACGCAGCACCTGGTGCAGCGCTGCAATTGCTTCCTCTGTGTCCCGCACCTCTGTTGTCGCACTGAATGACAGCCGCTGCACGTTGAACTGGTGAGGGGGAGACAAGGGGGGAGAGTTATGGTAGCGGAGGTGGAGGAAGTGTTTGAGGGGTTGGTGGCATCACAGGCCCTTTGCCGTTCATTGCCCTCACATCACAGGGAGCGCCGACAGACAGCACCCACAGCACAGCACACAGCACAGCACACAGCACAGCACACAGCACACAGCACACAGCACACAGCACACAGCACACAGCACACAGCACACAGCACACAGCACACAGCACACAGCACGCACGACACTAGTTGCAGCCACATTACCTTCGCGCCGTGCCATACCCTAGCGCCGTGCATTTCCTTGGTTTCGCAGCACTGCATTACCCTAGCACCGTGAAACACGCGGATGTCAACGCCCTTTAAACATGCCGTTGATGCAGATGAAACAGTGCATCGTCCACCGGCTGCTAGCATGATAGCAACACGCACTACCATCCCTTGCCCTACCTACGCCGTATCCTCTTTTCTTTACCTTTGGGCCGTGGCTTACCTTGGCACCATGCCGCACACGGTAACGCCCTTGCCATCAACGCTGATGAACAGTGCATCGTCGACCGGCTGTTGTGCCATACCTTGGTGCAACCACAGCAACAGCACCTTCATACCTAGCCCACGCCTCACCTTGGCTCCATGCCTCACCTTGGCTCCATGCCTCACCTTGGCTCCATGCCTCACCTTGGCTCCATGCCTCACCTTGGCTCCATGCCTCACCTTGGCTCCATGCCTCACCTTGGCTCCATGCCTCACCTTAGCGCCGTGTCGCACGCCGATGCCAAGGCCCTTGCCATCGATACTGATGAACAGGAGTCAATGCTGATTCTCGAGTTGACTCAGAAATAAGCGCGCAGCATGCATGACAGCAACAGCACCACCTTACCTTGGCGCCGTGCCGCACGCGGATGTCCACGCCCTTGCCGTCGATGCTGATGAACAGTGCATCGTCCACCTTCTGCTAGCATGATAGCAACACGCACCACCATACCTTAGCTCCATGCCCTACCTTGCCTCCATTTCTTACAGCGCCATGCCCTACCTTGCCTCCTCTTTACCTTAACTCCATGCCGCACGCGGATGTCAACGCCCTTGCCATTAATGCTGATGAACACTGCATCGCCCACCGGCTGCTGTGCCATACCTTGGTGCCAGTGCAGCACCAGCACCTTCACACCTTGGCCTCACAACCACACTCCCATACCTTGGCTCCATGCCGCACGCGGATGTCAACCCCCTTGCCGTCGATGCTGATGAACAGTGCATCGTCCACCGGCTGCGGCAGGATCGACGCCAGCTGGCGCTTCAGATCCGATCCCAGCCGTACGTTCAGCTCCTGCTCATCAGGTGGCACGGCACGGGGAGGTGGGATTTGTTTTCGCACACGTGGAGATCGAAGCCAGGCACCCATTCCGCTCATCAGGAGCATGATTGATGCCAGGCTGCAGGCGCTCCTGCTTCCGACTCCCAGTCACATGCAAAATGGCCTCGCTATCGTGCAGCACGATGACATCCGGTGTGGCAGGCAACGTGGCAGTGTGTCACACGGTTGCACCCATCCGCCCACACACACCCACTCCCTGCAGTTCCCATCCCAACCCTCACTCACGTGCAAAATGGCCTCTGAGTCATGCAGCACGATGGCATCCGGTGTGGCGGCAAGGTAGTCCTTCACATCGATCCACGCCACCGTGCCAAAGCCGCCCACGAAATAGATGTCGCTGTGTAGGGTAGGGGGAAGGAGAGGAGGCGAGGGATAAGTAAGGGGGAAACTCAACCAATGGTATCCAGCCGCACACACAGCCAGCCAGGTAGTCCTTCACGTCGATCCACGCCACCGTGCCAAACCCGCCCACGAAATAGATGTCACTGCAATGTGAAGGGGGGATGCAGGCGGGTGGAGGGGGTGTGAGGAAGGGGGGAGGGAAACGAGGTCACCACGCAGAAAGGTAGTCCTTCACATCGATCCACGCCACCGTGCCAAAGCCGCCCACGAAATAGATGTCGCTGAATGGGAGAGGAGGAGAGAGGGGATGAGAGGAGAAGGGCAATACAGTAAGCTCTACCAAAGTGGGCTATGAGGGATACTGGCCAGAACTGCCATTGCCACAAAGCAAGACAGCACGACTCATTGACGACCCATACCACCTGCAATGACCCATGGTGACTTACGCGACGACTCAAAAGTCACCCCATGCCACCTAGTCGTTGCAGGAGACTTTTGAGTATTTTCAAAACTCGCATGCCACCTGTAATGAGTATGAGCAGTGGCAACGCCGCCTACAAAGTCAATGTCGCTGAACGGATTGACAAGAGAGGAAGCGGGTCTGATCTGAAATGCCCCGAAACAGTACCTGACCATTTCTGATAGACATTGTGCCTCCACAACACACCTGCCCAGCAACCATCCCATCCAACCATGAGGGGGCTAGTAACCCTACCAGATCTGCTGCATGCGGTAGTAGCTGAAGTTGCCCCACATCTGCGCGGCGCCGTGGTGGTGGCGGCGGGCAAAGAAGCGCTGCGCCCACTGCTGCTGGGACGGCGGCACTGGGTAGACGTCGCCGAATATGGTGGCCCGTGCGTTAGCAAGCCCACTCCACCCGGGGATCTGGGGAAAGGGGAAGCGCAAGTTAGCAGGCGGGGACAGGTGAAGCCGGGTGCTGCCTTTCGAAAGAAGCCGTGGTGGTGGCGGCGGGCAAAGAAGCGCTGCGCCCACTGCTGCTGGGAGGGCGGCACCGGATACACGTCACCAAATATGGTGGCACGGGCATTGGCCAGCCCACTCCACCCTGGGATCTGTGAGGGGGAGTTGGTGGGGTTGGGTGGGGAAAGATGTTGGCACGAGTGTTGGCCAGCCCACTCCACTGTGAAACCTTGGTCAGCAGCAGAAACGAGTGGAGAAAAACAGGAAAAAAAAAAGAGATAAATATATATGTATATATATAATGAAGAGGAGAGTGATATAAAAAGCAGGATTGCATGAGCAAACTTGCTTACCTGAACAACAAGAGTGCAGCGAGGGTCTGCAAGCATGTTGCGTGTGTGGATGGAGAGAGGCGATAGGAGGAAGATGGGATCTGCACCCATAAAAAAACAGAGATGAAAAACGAGCAGAAACAAAACTAAAAACACAAGGCAGACTCCAGTTTCAGGTGATCGTAGACAGGAAACAAACAAACGAGATGTCAAGATTCCAAAGTGCCTAATCATGCTGCAATTTCAGCTGGGGAGAAACCACGTATTTTCAGAATTAAAACATACTTTCACTTTTGATACAAATTTAACCATTACAGTGTAGCCTCCGCACTGAAGGCCCTTGATTTTAAGCTATCCCACTTACGGCCCTCGTCGTCGGTGGCAAAGTCAACGAGCGAGCCAAACGGGTAGCCCTTGCGGCGGTGGTGCATGCGTGACATGATGCTGCACAGATGGGCGAAGCGCGCCTGTGTGGGACACAGGGAGAACAACCGCGGGAAGGAGGGAGGGGGATGTGTGAATATTTTTAGTTATTTAAAACACCGTGTGAATATTTTTAGTTATTTAAAACACCCACTTAACCATACGGGTAGCCATTGCGACAGTGGTGCATGCGCGGCGAGACATGATGCTGCACAGATGGGCGAAGCGCGCCTGTGAGGAGTGGAACACGTGGAAGAGCAAGGAAGGGAGATGTTTCTGAGAGCTTTCAAAAACGCCACTAAAGCGGATAGCACGGTGGTGCATCCATTGATTGATGGGCAAATCTGCACATACGTGCACAAATGCGCTAATCACACTGCTCCACACACCACCTGGCCCCCACACACACCACCTATCTCACCTGCTCCACGAGGCTGCAAACAGCAACAGCAGGCGAGGGCAGCCCGTTAGACAAAAACCGCCCCCACGTAACTCCTCCTCCAGACACACTCATGCGTCTGCCTCACCTGCTCCACGAGGTTGCGCACAGCCACAGCAGGCGACGGCAGCCCGTGCGATGCAGTGGCGCTCTGCACGCCCCCCGACACCGGCACCCGGTACAGCCCCACGCCCCCGCTGCCTCCCCCGCTGCTGCCACTGCTGCTGCTGCTGCTGCTGCTGCTGCTGCTGCTGCTGCTGCTGCTGCTGCTGCTGGCGCTGCTGGTGCTTCCTCGGATTGCCCCTGATGCTGCTACTGCTGCAGCGGTGAACTCAGCTGCCCGGTTCTCCGGGTTTGATGGGCCTTGGTCCGATGAGTAGAATTGAAACTGGCAGACGGGGGTGGCGAGAACGAAAGCGTGAAAGCAACTGTGCGTCTGCTTTCTCGCATATCTGCTCACTAGTAATTCCACTAGTTTTGAGGCGCCTCAAAAACTAGACAACTGTGCGTCTGTTTTCTTGCATATCTGGTTACTCGTGATTCCACGTGGGCATTTGACCCTACCTACCTCCCTGCTTCATGAATTTTACTTCTGAGAATTCTCAAAAGTAAAATTCATATCTGCTCACTAGTGATTCCACATGGGCGTTTGACCCTGCCTACCTGCCTGCTTTATTATGCCCTCTTTATTCAATAGCAAGGACCTTTCGAGAGAGGAGGGATGCGCGAGGGGAGTAGGCAACAGAGTAAAACAGAGTGGGTGGATAGGGTGGGGGCCGGATTGGTAGGAATACGAAAGGGCCAGGCAAGTGAGAGATCAAGAAAAGGAGAGGGCGGGCAAGGGAATGTTTAACTCACCCCATTATCCAGCGATACAGATCCACCCTCCACCAAATCATCCTCCTCCTCCTCTCCTTCCCACTCTTCTCCTTCCTCCCTGTCCTCCCATTCACCCATATCCCCTCCATCCCTCTCCTCGTCTGCACCCCACCCTTCTTCCGAATCAAACCCCTGCTGTCTCTCCCCTTTCCCCACGCCCGCCCACCCACTCCCAGCCCTGACCCGCCCTTTCCGCCCTCTCCTGCCTACTCTCTCCGTTACAGCCGTGCTACAGCCGTTGAGGGGGGGAAGCGGGCGCGTGGGGGGAGAATAAGCAGCTGCGCGGGCTGATCTGGATAGACTTTGGAGCGCGGAGGGCGGAGGGACGGGGCGGAAGGCGGTCGCGTGGCAGCTTCTGACCGCAGCGCCGCATGGCTGTGTTGGGAAGGTGGATGCTGGGGGAGGGCGCAACTGGAAGGGAGCACTGCGCGGAAGAGGGAGGGGGCGTGGGGAGAGGGGGGGAGAGAGGGGGAGAGGGGGAAGGGGCGGAGGGATGAAGGGGGTCGGAAATGGGAGATCCCGATAGGAAATAAAAGCTTGCATTGCCGGAGGGTTTAGGCGGCGATTATGCTGATAGAGCGAGGAGGGAGGAAAGTGGCTACGGGGTAGAGGTTTGAGGGAGGAAACCGTAGTACCGAGGGTTTAACTTGCGAGGGGAGAAGTTTGGAAAATGTGAGGGGTGAGGTTTGTAGAGGGTATACGTGATGAAATTCGCGGATTCGGATCCGCCGCAAGCTGTTTCTTTTTTTTTTTTGGGGGGGCTTTTGGGTAGCTGTTTCCTCTTGATAAAATACGCTTCTGATGGAGATGAAAATTTACCATTCGTTGTCGGCCAGCTACGGATGGATGGACACGGCACGGATTTCAACACCTCCCCCTCCCCCCTCCCCCCCCTCTCCTTCCTCCTCCCTCCCGTCCCCCCGCCTTCCCCCTCCTCCCTCACCCTTCTCTGTCAGGTTTTCTGCGCAAAGACTCCAAGAGGGTTTGCGTCCCCGTTATAAGCTCACCTGTTAGCGGATCCCAGTCGGATCGGCGGATGCATTCTGGTGGTCTGGCTAGCGGGGCCTGTCATGCTGCTCGCCCCGACCACTGACTGCATTCCCGTGACTGGATCGCACCGCAACGCGCGGCGAGGCGACGAAGGGCGAAGGATCGCAAAATGGATCGCAGCACCGCGAGGCTACGGAGGTCGAAGAGAACACTCAAGCCGCCAGGCAAAGCAGAACAAATGGATCGCGACGGCAACGTGAGGCGATTTTTGATGCGGTTGGAAAGTTGTCTGGACTAACGCAAGTGGATGCGCTGCTGTTGGTAGGTCGTGAGAACGTTGATGAGCCTGGCGAGTCAAGCGGCGAGGAGAGGGTGGAAAAAACGGGAGACGCGAGACCGAAAACCGACGATCGGGACAGTGGATGAACACGCACGAGAAGAATGCAGCTTCTTCGTTGCGATCTCGGGTGTCGGCTTGACTAGCGGATGTGTTGGTGCCTGAAGGGTATGGTTGCTAGTTGTTTTTGTTCTTTCGACACACAAAATATAGTAGGCAGGGGAGCTTTTTCTCTTTGCCCTGGAAACGGGGTGAACGTAGTGGGGGTGTACCTTTAAACAGCATCCGGAGGAGGTTAACAGAATTACAGGGAAAAAGATATTGTGCACTGCTGCGTGGTTGCATCTGGTTGACTGCAAGGTCGCGAAAATACTCATATATACACCCATAATCTCGTGCGACTGACAGCGGGCGTGGATTCGTTGGTGCTGGACATCCACGCGGGGGAAGGAGGGGCAGTGATGGTCTAGCTGCTGAGTCACGCTTCCGCTACGTGGCATGCGATCACGCGTGGCGGCTGGTCGCGATGGGTGTTTCGTTATGACTGATTCCACCGTTCGCTTCACGCTTCTGATAACAGAGAGCAACTAACCTAACCATACAAGTAATACAGCAGCAACCTCACATGCAGTATTCGCGCAAACTAGGCAGTGCATTTCCAAACTACGCTAGCAAACTAGGAACATCAAATGCAAGCGACAGCAGCGTGGCTTCAGATGCCTTCAGACGTTCGATGCTCTCCTCCAAACGAGCCCTGCGTTGCTGATCAGCACCATTCAAGGCCACAAACTTGGTTATGTCAGCGCAATGAATCTCCCGCCACATAGCACCATCAGTGCCATCCAGAAGGGCATTCTCAAGACACATCCGTATCTCCATGGGGATCACATCACACAGCCGCTTATGCATCACCTTGGCATACGAAAACATGTTGACCTGCAGGTCCCTCGCGGCCTTATCATCATTGATGATCAGGTTGGCGAGTGAAGCAGTGCCGGATGCGAAGTCTTCAATAGTGGGAACAGGCGGAGCAGCTTCAGTCGAGCCACCAGGCTGCGCCTTTTTATGTTCAGCCATTTTCTCATGGATCTTGGAAACTGCGTCCATATAGTAATGGTTGAGTGCGAAGATAACCTCCTTCTCCTTTGCCAACAAGTCCTGAATGTAGCGGTTTGCTGACTCCTTGGCCTTCCTCATGGCACTAGAGCCTTGAAGATGAGCCACGTTGTTCAGTCCAGGGTACAGCCCGCAGACATGTGATGCCACAGCCTGCTGCACTTGAGTTGCATAGGCGAAGCAGTCATTCACCAGCTGCAGGCACGGCCCTTCAATGCTCTCCACCACCTCCTGAACAAGCTGCTTCACCACAACCAGGTCAAACATGTTCGGGAGAGACATTCCAGCCACCTCTTTCAAAGCCTCCTTGCACCTTTCCGAGTAGTCCGTCCCAAGGAAGTCTGGAAGAGCACCCCTCATCTCAACCTCAAACGCGTTGAACTTCTCGTGCAGCCTGGCTGTATAATGCATTGCTTTATCGCTCTGAAATGAGCCATACTTGCCGCCCATGACACCACTCATCATGTCACGTCTCTTCTGGAGTGTTGAAGAAACAAGCCCCATTGCTGCAGCGCTAGTGGTGGGGGAAAATGGAATGGTTTCCAGTTCAGACTCCTTACCAACAAGAGCCTTCTGAATAGCCTGCCTGATCCGTGGGATGCTGTCTGCCACCCTCTTGTCCTGAAGTTCTGTCAGGCGTTGAGCCAGGGCTGGAATCCCAAGGCAATGGGGCTCGATCTGGGACAACTCTGGATGATTGTTGAAAAAAGCCGCTTCTGCCCTTCTTGCATCATCATGAGTTGCATCAGCTTCAGTCTTGTTCCGGACACACACGTAGCCAAGTCCAATCCGCACCGGATTTCCTTGAATCTTCTCGTAGAGGCCATCAGGAGCCCGGTCAACCTTGGTGACGACAGCCAGGGTGCGATCTCCATCCTCGTCAACCTCTTGCGACATGACAATGGATTCGCATGTAGTGAAATCCACCTCAGCTGCAAGAACGTTGAGAATGACGCTCTCTTTTGGAGTAATGTAGTGCATGATCATTGCCTTGACCTGATCGTAAATGTCCTTTGGCTGATCATCAACAGGAACGCGAGTAATACCAGGCAGATCCACGAGCGTCAAGTCAGGCAAGTCGGATCGCCGCACTTCCAGAGTAATCGGACAATTTAAGACGCCTTTCCGATCCCCGGCTAACGCCACAGTCGCCTCAGAAATCTCCTGCTCAATCTTTCCTTCATCAGGCAAGACTTTAGACACCTTACCAGAAAGGGAGAGGGTGTATTCAATCGTAATCATCTCCTGTCCTTTCACACATGACTGGAGCCTCAGGATCAGTGGTACTCGGGTAACAATTCCCTTGCCTCTGGGCAGGCTGATTCCGGACAGGTTTTCCAGGACGGAGGACTTGCCGCTGGACTGGTCACCGACCACAACGATCGTCGGGAGCTCGATCCCTTCATCCTTGAGACCTAGAAGCCGGAGCCTGTCGATCGCATCCAGCATCGGACGGACATTCTCGTTGAAGGAAGAGATGAGAGGAGCCATGGCGAGGCGAGAAGGGTTGAGCTGAAGAGGGTTGAGCTGAGGAGGGTCGAGCTGAGGAGGGTTGAGCTGAGGAGGGTCGAGCTGAGGAGGGTCGAGCTGAGGAGGGTTGAGCTGAGGAAGACTGGAACCGCAAACAGGAGTCAAATAAGAGGTTAGAGAACGCAGCATGCTTCGCAATAATGACACTTCCTTGAGCGAGCTTTTCATATTCGACAGAAGCGGGCCCAGCGTAGCAACCAAGGATGGTCCGTGAGCCCACCCCTGTCATGTCGCACGCTTCAAGGCGGAAATTGGTGACTGAAATTCGTTATCTTACCGACAACCTTGGAAATCATTGAAACGTTAATAGACGTGCCAAATTCGAAGGAGATAGACACCACGGCTCGACGCAGTCGCGATCTTAGTGCAGGGTAGTATAAGTGGAATGGCGATGGCAGTTATTACTGAGGTTGCTCTGGAATAGCCGAAACGGAATCTCTGCATCTCGGGCGTGGAGAAAGGCGTGGATTCCAAGTCTACGAGGAAAAGGGCGTGGAACATCTGGCTACCGCTAGGATACGTACGATACAGTGCCCTACCTCAGCACTGATTTTACCAACAAAACCATTTCAGCATTGTCCAAAAGATTGGTGAATTCCAACGTGAGAGAAGCTTTGCCAGGAGTGGTGATATTCCGAGGTTGTGCAGGGATGGCTGGAAACAACAGCAACGAATGGTTTGGTTTCGGTACGAAGAGATTGGGGGAATTTTGCACTACCCACAATCCAGGTTGGGCTGGGAATGGGAGTCCATTGTGGTAACCGAGTGCTGGGGCATGTGCAAACAAACTGACCTTCCAGAGCGGGAGAGGCTTGGGTGTCAGAAGCTGGTAACGCAATCGACCCAGTCACAGTTTAGTACATGTCAGTGATGCAAAAGCGGAACACAGATTACTGTTTCATGGACCTGCTGCTACCCCGGAACAGGGCCTGTGGCTCACAGCATGAAAGAACGGAACTGGGAAACTGCGAATTGTAAGAACAGCCCACTAGGTCTGAGCGGTCCTAAGGGCGTGTTACATTTTTTAAAATTTTCGTCCGGACGGCAACCGTCCGGACGATAGTGTGGTTACGGAAATCGTCCAATATCGGTAGTGAGTTCGTCAGGGGCTGAACGACGTCGCATGCGTCGTTCGGCTAGCTTACGACATCGCATTGGTCGCGTGACAACCGCGCGACGTCGCAGTACTCGCACGCGTCCGGACAACCGTCCGTACTTTCAGCGATTTCAAAAAATGTAACACGCCCTAAATTCCTGCAGGCCTGGAACTTATGACCTGACGACGAGATCCGGATTTGGCGAGCAGGAAACATCATCGTACTCCACACCTTAGCTGACAAGTCGTGCAGCCTTCCATCGGTAAAGCTCGTATTACCGGCTTGGATTGCAGTTGCCACTCGTCGTAAGTTACTCGTAGACTGGGGATAGCGGGATGGCCGACGACGCTGCACCAGAAGTGGTGCTCGAAACGACAATGGGGCAAATAACAGTCGAGGTAGGTTCGAGATTGAGCGTAGCTAACCTTAAGGTGGCTGCTTTGTGTACAGCCGTCTGCCAAGAGCAACAGCCCACGCACCTCCCAGAATCTGCTAACCTCACGGAGAAGAACCAATTTTCATGGCGCCATCGGTGCGCTCCGTCGTCAGAGCTCGCTTGCTCCTGCCGTCCAACCCCTCCGCGAGTTACGCCGAGTACACCTGCCGCGTTGCATTCCAGGCCCACTCGCGTCGGTACGTCCGGCTCCTAGTGGAACTCAAAGCAGCATCCCGCGTCGCATTCCAGGCTCATTGAACGTGCTCCGAACACTTTTTCTTTGAACGCGCCAATGTGTATTTGAGTCGAGAACTCGCTCGCCGTGCGGGTCCGCGATAATACACTCTCGATTCTGGCTGCTTTTTTCATAATCCCGCGTGTTTCTCTCACCAGCCTCTTCCCCCCCTCACTCGTTAGCCCTTGCCTTCCCTCCCCAACCCCGTCCCAGCGATGGTGTGTGAGACGCGTACATTGCATCTGGACGTCAGGTGTATCACTGTCAGATGCCAATAGGCCAGGAGAATCTGTTGCAACAGAGCAAGGCGCAGGTGCTTCTGCTGCACCCTGTCGAGGTAAGATTTGTTGATTCATCCTGTTCAGGTGGGTATTGTTACTTCACATAGTTCAGGTGCGTTTGTTAATTCATCCTGTTCAGGTGGGTTCCTTAGATTCACCCTCCTGTTCACCTGAATTTCAGGTGGTTTTTGTGTAAATTCCAACTCTTCATGCCACGTGTTTGCATCATGCTGTTTGTCCAGTTCGTCCCACTTCTTCCTTTCCCCACCCCCTGCCCCTTCCCCTCTTCCCATCACCCACCCCGTCAGGACGTCACTCCAACGCCCGTCCCTTCTCTCCTCCTCACAGCGGCCGTTCAGAGCCTTGCATCCGCCGCCCTCGGAGATACCGGAGAGCGAGCATGTGAGCAGGGGTGGTGCGCGTGAAGATATATTACATGTGACACCCCCTCTAACGCTAACATATGGTCTTCACACAAGAGTGTTTTGAAGTGTCACTCCGGAATGTGACAATCTGCTCTGCACGTGATACAAGAAGTGTCTTGAATTTCCATTGCGCTGTGCGACGATTTGCAAGGACCAGTAGTCAACGCAGCATGCCGTACAGACACCCTTCCTGAGCTCGTCTAAACCACTCAAGCGCACATCCACTTGCCATGAAACCCTGTCAGATGTGCTCTTGCCACTGTGGCCTCATCTCTTGCCCCCTTCCACTTCAGCCTGAATGACCTTGCTTTTCCTCCGCTCCGCACCCGTTCTTTTCCCTCCCTCTTCTCTTCGCCCATTCACCCTTCTCTCCTCCCCTCCTCCGATCCGTCCTTGCCTCCAGCCGCCACGCTCCTTTCCTCCGTGACTCACTCGGTCGAACCATCGTTTCCACCTTCTCCTCCTCATCTGGTAGGTCAGCCAGGTCAGCCACGTGACTCCTCCCCATCTGGTAGGTCAGCCAGGTGACTCCTCCCCATCTGGTAGGTCAGCCAGGTGACTCCTCCCCATCTGATAGGTCAGCCAGGTGACTCATCCCCATCTCCCAGCAGGGTAATGCTGATTCCGTCTGCCACCTCTCCCTTGTCCCCCCTGTTGCATCTGTGAACCGCGCTCATGCTGCTCAAATGTCCCTATCAGCCCAGTCAACCCAAGTCAACTGTGCTTCTCCCTCCCGCTCCCCCTCCCCTCCCCACCTCTCCCATCGCCCCTTGCGCGGCAGTGCCATCTGATTCCATCTGCCACCTCTCTCCCTCCCCTTTTGGCTTCTTTATAATTCCCAACCAGTCCATACTGCCATCTTCCTTCCTTCCCCTTCCCGTCCCCTTCCCCTTCCGCACCTATCCCATTGCCCCATGCGCGGCAGTGACTCCCGACTCCCTCTGCCACCTCGCCCCTTCCCCCTGCTGCATCACTGAGCCGGGCCCGTGCTGCACTGCCATCTCCGTCACAGGGCCCTCCACCTTTCGGGTACGCCAGTGTGAGTGCACGTTTTGACTGTACTGTGCAAGTGTTTGCTTGCCCCTGCGAGTACGACCCGTACGACCCGTGCTGCACTGCCATCTCGGTCACAGGGCCCTCCACCCTCTGGGTACGGCAAACATGTGTGTGGTACAGCGTAAGCATACACCCTATACAGTATTTTTGTGTGTTCAGTACACTACAGTGTTTGTTTGCCCCTGCAGCATCTCTGAGATCGGCCCGTGCAGCACTGCCATCTCTGTCACAGGGCCCTCCACCCTCCCGGTACGCCACACCTGTTTGGTGGTACAGTGTTACGGGTTGCGTAAATGTTACACTACAGTGTTGCGTAAATGTAACAACCCGCACAACCTGCCTCCCGTTCCCCTGCTTCCCACCGTTTCTCGTCTCCCCTCCACTCCCCCTCCCTACACCAAACCAACCACCCCCCCCTCTTCCGCCTTTTGAGGCCATCTCTCGCTTCTTTCCCAGGTCACTATTTCTTCACAACCCTGCCTTTCCCCCCCCGCACCAGGTGGCTACTTCCCGTTTCTTCCCCCGATCAGTGGACCTGCACAACCCCACCTCCCCCTCTTCCACACCCCCTCCTCTTCCCTCCCTCCCGCCCCTGCACGACCCCGCCTCCCCCTCTTCCACACCCCCTCCCCTTCCCTCCCTCCCACCAGGTGACCACCACTCGTTTCTTCCCCCGCTCAGTGGACCTACACGTCCCAGCCTCCCTCTCCCCCGCTTCCAGTGCTTCCCCTCCCTCCTCCTCACCCCCTCCTCTCGCCTTCCAACAGGTGGCTACCTCTTGCTTCGTCCCCTGATCAGTAGACCTGCACGATCCAGCCTCCTCCTCCCTTCCTCTCCCCGCCTCCTCCTCCCTTCCTCTCCCCGCCTCCCGCCTCCCCCTTCCCCCACCCTCATCAGGTGGCCAGAAACTACACCCAGAATGTGAAGGACGTTCGGAAAACAACTTTGATTTGGGGTGTGACTGATTCCTGAGTGGGCATGCGTTTGCTGAAGCTGGAGATCCACATGGAGGAAGGAGCGTGGTGATGGACTTGTTGCTGGGCCATGCTCAACCACGTGGCATGTGATCTTGCATGGCGGCTGGTGGCGGGAGGGTTCCTCGCTATGACTGATTCCGCCATATCCTTTAATGTTATGCTTATAATGAGCAACAAACCTGGTACCGTTGTCACCTGTTAACAACAGCATTCCCATAAGACTAATGGGAAAGAGAAACATAATATTATCAGCAGGGAGTTTCTGATCTAGAATAAATATTAGGCAGCAGTACAAACAGACAGGAGTGCAAACTAGACAGTGCATCATCAAACTAGGCCAGCAAATTAGGAACATCAAATGCAAGCGACAGAAGCGTGGCTTCAGCTGCCTTCATACGTTCAATGCTCTCCTCTAAACGAGCCCGACGTTGCTGATCACCACCCTTCAAGGCTACTATCTTGGTTATGTCTGCACGATTATTCTCCAGATTAATCTCCCGCCAGATAGCGTCATCTGTGCCACCCAGGAGAACATTCTCAAGGCACATCCGTATCTCCATGGAGATCACATCACACAGCCGCTTATGCATCACCTTGACATACGAAAACACGTTGATCTGCAGATCCCTCGCAGGATGATCGTCATTGCTGATAACATTGGCAAGTGAAGCAGTGCCGGATCCAAAGTCTCCGATTGATCCATGATGCCAGGCTGCGAATCCTTATATTCAGCCATTTTCACATGGATCTGGGATACCGTATCCAAGTAGTAATGGTTGAGCGTGAAGATAACCTTCTTCTCCTTTGTCAACAGGCCCTGAATGTAGCAGTATGCTGACTCCTTGGCCTTCCTCATGGCATCCGTGCCTTGAAGGTGCGCCACGTTGTTCAGCCCAGGATACAACCCACAGACGTGTGATGTCACAGCCTGCTGGACCTGCATTGCATAAGCGAAGCAGTCGCTCACCAGCTGCAGGCACGGCCCTTCAATGCTCTCCACCACCTCCTGAACCAGCTGCTTCACCACAACCAGGTCAAACATGTTAGGAAGATACATCCCACCCACCTCCTTCAGAGCCTCCTTGCACCTTTCAGAGTACTCTGTTGAAAGGAAATCCGGAAGAGCACCCCTCATCTGAACCTCAAACGCCTCGAACTTCTCGTGCAGCCTCGCAGTATAATGTATTGCATTGTCGCTCTGAAAAGAGCCAAAATGCCCAGTCATGACCCCACTCATCACCTCATGTCTTTTCTGGATTATTGAAAAAACGAGGCCCAGAGCTTCAATGGTATCGGTTGGGGCGGGCGGAATGGTCTCCAGTTCAGACTCCTTGCGAACAAGCGCCTTCTGAATAGCCTGCCTGATCCGTGGGATGCTGTCTGCCACCCTCTTGGCCTGAAGTTCTGTCAGGCGTTGAGCCAAGGCTGGAATCCCACGGCAATGTGGCTCGAGCTGGGACAACTCTGGATGATTGTTGAAAAACTCCGCTTCTGCCCTTATTGCATCATCATGAGATGCATCAGCGTCAGTCTTGTTCCGGACACACACGTAGCCAAGCCCGACCCGCACTGGATGTTGTTGAATCCTTTCGAAAAGGCCATCAGGAGCGCGGTCAACCTTGGTGACGACAGCCAGGGTGCGATCTCCATCTTCGTCAACCTCTTGCGACATCAAAATGGACTCGCATGTCGTGAAATCCACCTCAGCTGCAAGAACGTTGAGAATGACGCACTCTTTTGGAGTAATATAATGCATGATCATTGCCTTGACCTGAGGACATCCCAAGTATGGGGGACTCAAACGAGCATTAGGTGTAGTTAAGCTACTACGCAGGAGGCGAGTTTGAGATGGAGTTGGTTCTGTTCACCCGCGGATAGACTTTTTGGTCTTTGTGATGACGCCGAAATGTTTTTCGGCAAGCAGCTCAAAACCCGGGCAGGCGAAGCGTTGGACTCGGTGGGTAGAATACGGTTCTAGGGTGTTGCGAAAATTTGCGCGTGACTGGAGTTTAGCAGTACGTCGCTGGAACCCGAAACCCTCGTGTTTTTCAGATTGTCTACTGTTTCCGAGTTGGTTCTGTTCACCCGCGGATAGACTTTTTGGACTTTGTGAATGACGCCAAAACGCTTTTGGACAAGCAGGGCAAAACCCAGGCAGGCGAAGCGTTGGACTCGGTAGTGGAATACGGTTCTGGGGTGTTGTGAAAATATCCGCGTGACTGGAGTTTAGCTGAACGGTCTAATTATACTTTTGAGTGTTATCAATTTGCCCTACACACAACCAGTACCACATTATATGGAATTTACATAGCAGAATTTTTTGTCCTTTGACTATTTCTGAAGGCAAGGATTTCTATTTGTCAAAGTATGAAGGGAGTTGGTTTGGATAAGGCATATTGTTTCTTCAATATAGATGGACAACAGCTTTTATATTTATTTTTAATGTACCTGTTACAATCCCGAGTGGGATTTAGAGAATGATTGCTTAGGGTTGCTCGCAGGTAGTGTTGCAGCGGAAGTGTTGACCTCAGATCATAGTAAATGTAAATGACTGAGATAATAATAGCATGCACGCATTGAGTTTATATAGGAAATACGAAGGAATGCGAAACGACCTAGACTAGCCATGTACTCTAAGGGGTACATTCCCTTACTGCATCGAATTCATACTGTGCGGCACGGGAACCCGTTCAAAACCAGCTCCCACTCTTTTCACTCTAAATGTTTCTCCCTGCATCGGTCTCGATCTGACAGTTGCTGGTGTCGCTCCGACTCTTCTGACGCCTCGACTTCGTACTCGGTAGAGTCAGCTCCTGCAGCATATAAGAATGCCTTCTCATAAAATTTCATATCGTAACACTCCCCTTTATTCCTAAACGCGCAAGGGGCTGACTCGCTTGACTACTCCGGTGAGGTCGGAGCAGTGCTTGAACTGCTGACGTGGCAGGCGCTTGGTGAGGAAGTCGGCTGCCATCTCGGTGGTGGGGCAGAATGCGAGGTCAACTTTGCCTTGGTAAATTTCTTCCTTGGCCAAAAAGTACGGAAGGGCGATATGCTTCGTGCGGTTTACGAACCCCGGCTTGTTCGCACTCTTGATGACGCTCTGGTTATCGCAGTGAAGGCGAAAGGTAGGCGAAGTTGGGATTTTCGCTTCCTGCAATAACTCCTGTAGGTACAGACATTCGCGAACTGTTGCTGTCGCAAGGATGTGCTGCTTCGGCTGATGACTGCGCAACCAGCTCATGCTTCTGTGAGTTCTAGGAGAGAGGTCCGATTGGCTCCAGTCGGAAGACGAAGCCGGTTCAGGGTCAGCGGCATGATCAGCGTCCACGTAGCCGTTGAGGTTGAAGGAGGCGTTAAAATAGTAGCTAGAACAGGGAGCCATAGCTAGGGTTTACCTAGCTAGGCAAGAGAGAAATGAGCAAAGGAGGAGGTTCACAAGCAAGCAGGAGGATACATATAGGAAACCCTAAGGGGTTGTACTCGCTATAGAGTACCCCACTGCATACTAGAGAATAATTACATTCTGACAGGAGGTTGCCGTTAGCGTGGAGTAGGAGAGCCCAATGTCATGTGTGGAAATGAAATACTGCAGGGCGCGCTCCAGGTCCAGCTGGTTCTCAGCTACTGGCTTGCGGGAGTACTATCTCAGTTGGCTGGCAATGTATGAAAGGTCTGGTCGGCATGTGTCAGAGGCGAACATCAGGCACCCCAATTTCTGCTGGTACAATTGGAGTCATGCGGGCGACAAGAGTTTGTTGTCTGGTTTGTAGTTGGTGCTGGGGCTGCGGTAAGGGTTGAGAGTGGTGCAGGTAAAATGTTGAAACGTTCTCCCAGCTGCTGTGCGAACTTGGTGCGGAACTCAACAACGGTAGTGAGCTAGTTTACAGGGGTTGGCACAAACTATTATGACTGATCGTAGCTTTGCTTAGTTCCTTAGTGCTTGCGCATTCACGAAAGATATGAGCAAGAGTTTTCACTAGCAAAGTCGAAAGTACAGGATGAAATATATTCAAGAAATCACAGAAATGACTACATCAGGCACCTAGCAACTCTGCAGCTAGCCTGGTCGACCGCCAGCACTGCATGGTCGACCGCCTGCCAGCATTGCGTAGAGGAGCCGCGCCAGCACTGCAGAAGAGCGACCTGCCAACACTGCAGGTCGACGGCGTGCCAACGCTGCAGTGGAACGACTGTCCAGCGTTGCCCCGTAAAAGACAGAAGTGCGCACGCTCGCAGGTGCACGCAGACGATTAGCCTGACTTTCTTTGCTCTGCATCCGTCGGATGTTGTCTGCGTTTGACGAGCCACAACGACTTCGGGATACCAGCTCGAAGTCGCCTTCGTCATCGCAACCTCGACGACAAACGCGTGCCTCCGCAGAACTTGCCGAGCAGGTTACCTGGTCGTCCTGGACACCACCAGCCACTCTGGTCGACCACCCAGAGCTCTGGTCGACCATCAGGGCTCCGGTCGACCAGGAGCTCTGGTCGACCACCAAGTGTCCCCGGTCGACCGCCAAGAGCTTTGGTGGACCACCAGGTGTCTCCGATCGACCATCAGGAGCCCTGGTCGACCACAGGTCCCCCGGTCGACCACCAGATCCCCCGGTCGACCACGAGGCCCCCCTGGTCGACCACCAGGTGCCTCTGGTCGACCACCAAGGGCCTCTGGTCGACCACAGCTCCTCTGAAGCTGCCCCATGGTCGACGGACCCCTTCTGTCGACCAGAATTCTCTGCTGATGTCGCCGAGCTTCCCTCGTCGACCGTTGCTCACATGTCAGGTCGACGGACTGCTCCGTCGACCTCCTCGTTGAACTGGGACTCCTGGTCGACGGCCCACCCGTCGCCCAGCCCAGTCAGCTGCGCCCGTCGCGGATGTGGGGCTGCATGGTGCAGTTTTTGGTTCCCAAGCGGTAGCACGGTGGGAAGCTGGCGTCGAAAGCTTGCTGGGGGCTTCACCTGGGTGTCTCGCTAGAGGGCAAGGGCTGGGAGGTGCTGGACTTGACCGACAACAAGGTGGTCACGTCGGTCGAGGTGATCTTCTACGAGACGCTGTCGCTGGAGGTGTGGAAGGCGAAGTATGGGCCGGCGTCGGGGCGGACGCAGGCGCACCCACCGACGGACACCTGGAAGTCGACGAGCCTGGTGATGAGGATGTTGTGGAGGTTCCTCCATCTCTCCCTGTTCTTGCTCCTCCCTTCCCCACCGCAGATTGGCCTGCGTCGACACCTGTGTCGGCCACCGGCGATGAGGGGAGCCTTGAGGCGTCGTTTGTGGAGCCGGCCAGTGGCATCGCTGGCGGTCGACAAGGCGCCAAGCTCGTCGACCAGGACCGGAAGCCGTCGACAATTGGGGAGCCGGTTGAACAGGAGGCAGCAATAGGGGGTCAATTGACAGGGGACCAGCAGCCGGGGCAGTCGACAGGGGAGCTGTCGAAGTAAGCAGCAGGCGAGCAGCCGGTCGAAGGGTCGAAGCAGCTGGTCGACGATGCGAACGTCGACGAGGAAGGGGAGCTGTCGGCGGGAGAGGAGTCCACCGACAGTGATGTGGTGGAGGTTCCGGTCGAGAAGTCTGCGCCGGAGCTGCGGCATTCTGGTCGAGCTCGACGGCCGCCGGAGCGGCTGAGCTTCCACGCCTGCCTGCCATCAGCTGTCTTCACCACGGTGTATGACGAGGTCGACGACGACCTGTTGTACGACGACGGATGAAGACCTGCCGGAGCTCGAATCCGACGTGCATGCTGACCCCGAACACCGCTGGGACATCGCCACGATGACGGTGAAGGAGGCGCTGGCGAGCTGGAAGGGCGAGGCGGTGAAGGCCGCCATGGAAGAGGAGATCCGCAGCCTCATCGGCATGGGCACTTGGGAGCTGGTCAAACGCTCACACGGAGTGAACATCATGAAGAACCGGTGGGTGCTGACGACCAAGTACCGCATCGACGACACCGTCGAGCGCGAGAAGGCGAGGTTGGTCGTGAAGGGCTTCACACAGGTGTACGGCGCCGACTACGACGAGACGTACTCGCCGGTGAGCAGCTACGTCACGCTGAGGATCTTCCTCAGCATCGTCGCCGTCCTCGACCTCAACTTGATGCAGCTCGACATGAAGAACGTTTTCCTGCAGTGCAAGCTCGACAGGGTGCTCTACATGTACCAGCCGGACTACTTCAACGACCGGCCGGGTGTGTAAGCTGCTGAAAAGCCTTTACAGGCTGAAGCAGTCGCCGTTGCTGTGGTACAGGGCTCTTGGCAGCGTGCTGCTGGGCGCTGGCTAGAAGAAGAGTCAGATCGACATAGCGCTCTACTTCAAGGTCAACGACGACCGAGTGACCTGCTGGGTGCTGGTCTACGTCGACGACCTGCTCGCCGCCAGCAGCAGCACCGCGATGCTGAAGGAGCTGCTGGAGGCCGCCTTCAAGCTGCGCGAGATCTCGCCGGGGGTGAAGAATCTTGGGCTAGAGATCGTCCGCGACAAGACGGCGAGGAAGCTATGGCTGTACCAGCTGAACTACGCCGACAAGCTGCGTAGGCGCTTCATCGACAAGGAGCTAAGGCAAGCGCATCCCAAAGATACCGGTCTAGGTCCACGCCTACGCCGAGCTGACATTCGACGACGAGGAAGCGCAGGAGCGCGAGGAGGAGGAGTACCGGCAGAAGGTTGGCTCGCTGCAGTTCGCGGCGACGACGACGAGGCCGAACATTGTGTTCGCCTGCAGCAAGCTGGGGAGCGGCCTCACGGTGAGGTTTGACCAGCATTGGCGCGAGGTCGACCGCTGCCTCGCCTACCTCGCCGACACCCGCGACACCGCCCTGGAGTTTGGCGGTGGACCAGAGTCGCTGGAGCTGATCGGCTACGTGGATGCCGACGACGCGGGCGACAAGCAGAACCGGACGAGCACGGGCGGCTACGTGTTCGTCTACGGAGGGGTCGCTGTCTCCTGGTCGAGCTCACGCATCAAGTGCGCGACACTGTCGTCGACCGAATCGGAGTACGTGGCGGCCACGGATGCAGGCAAGGAGGGACGCCGACTCCGCTTCCTTCTTGCGGAGTTCAAGCTGCTCGACGTTGGGAATCCGACCACCCTCTGCGTGGAAAACAAGTCGGCCATCACGGTCGCTTAGTGCTTGGGGCTGACGTGCAACCTCAAGCACATGGAGCGTCGCTACGCCTGGCTGCAGCATATGGTGAGGCACAGGAAGTTCGCGCTGAAGTACATCCTGGCGACCGAGTAGCCTGCCGATTTCCTGACGAAGCCGCTGCATTTTCCGGCCTTCAACCGGTGCTCTGTCGCCATCGGCCAAGTTCGCCTGGCCGACGTCAGCGACGTCGACGACGAGGCGCAGCAGTATGTGCCGTGCCCTTCTGCACGGCTGATGACAGTTGTTGAGACTGTTGTTGCTGCATCATCGGGGGCGCCACCGAAGCCGTCGCCGGGTTTGTCGCTGGTGCCTGTCGTGGCATCGTCTGCGACTGTTGCCCCGGCGCCGCTTGTGCCTGTTGCTGCGGCTGTGCCTGTTGCTCCGGCGTCCCTTGTGTCTGTTGCTGGCATGCCGCCCACTCGTCTTCAACGTCCAGCAAGCCCTGTAGCTGCTACTTGATTCTCTCGCTACACCTCGCGTCTGGCGTAGCTCGGCGTTTTCCACCCTCAGGCAATCCAACTCGCCAGACATAGTCTGCATGTTGGCCTGCATCAAATTTGGCTTGCAGCATGTTTCAAAGGCTCATCCTAACGGGCAGCGGGTTAACGTCGATTTTTATGGCTTTGATGAAGGCAACGCTATTAGTCGCAGCGAGATAATCGTATATATCTCTCAGTCGACCGCTTTGCAGCCCACCAAGCCTTTCGCAACCCTGCACTAAACTACCCCAGAAAGTGGAGGGTAACATAGGAAAGTAGCTCTGATACCAAGTGTTATGAGTTGTACGAAAGAAGAGTGCGCAGAATGCAATATCGCGGAAGTGATTACAACCACTCAGCAAACAAGGAGGTCTAGGCATAATATAATGAGGCTAGCTAGGCCGAGGTCGCGGAGTCGCGCGAAGGTTGGGTGCAGGTTTGGGGTTGGGAAACCCGAAGGCGACGCGAGGGACGTTTGGAAGGCGAGGTCGGCGGGCCGAACCTGAACTCCGAAAAGTTAGAATTGTACGCGTGCAGAGTGCCTCAGTAAGGAATTAGGAAAATTCCTTATAATGGTTATTAAAAAATTACAGATAACGCCCAAGGGGCTTGTTACCACTTCCCTCGCGTATCGGCCAAGACGACCAAATGGTCGGATTTTGGGTTTGGTCGCAGCGATGTTACACGCCCTTAGCTAGAGTGCAACCAGCTAAACTGCACAGTTGTCGTTTTACAGTACACCTAGCCCGCGGTATATTCACCACGCGAACGTTTTTCTTCCAGGCACCCTTTGTGCATTTTCGGGTAATTAGAAGGGCACCTAGAGACTCCGAGGCTAACAAAATACAACTAGGATGCATTTCAGTATCATAAATTGCCACTTAGAGACCCGAGATATGGGCGGGATTGGCATTTACAAAGTTCCCACTCTCGGTCTTCTGGCGAAGGGAATGCATGATTGTACCCTCTCCGAATCCGAAACTACCTTCAAACAAACTTGACCGCGGGAAAGTACACCCGCATGGTGAAGATACCGCCGGTGAATTTACCGCGGACTAGGTGTATCCGCTTCTGGAACTCTGTGATAGATCTGGAACGCAACAAGCCCCACACCTTTACAGCAATACAGCCTTCCATCGATACTGACTTGGATTGCCGTTACCGCTTGTAGCAATTCCTCGTAGACTGGGGTAAGCGGGAATGGCCGACAACGCAGCACCAGAAGTGGTGCTCGAAACGACAATGGGGCAAATAACAGTCGAGGTAGGTTTGGGACTGAGCGTACAGTACTTACTACCCATGAGGGTGGCACAACATCAAAGAGTACGTCGTTTGTCGGTCACAGCAGATATTTCGTCACGTATTGGCCGCCGGTATTGAGCTTGCTATCGTTTCACGTCGCGCCACTTGTTAGGGGATCCAAACTTCGTATTCTGCTTGAGTATTTTTTTTTCCCTAAATCATGTGATTTATCGCCAATAATGCGTCTGAATATTTTCCTCGTTCCGTTCCCTTCCGTATCATTTTGCGAAGCGCTGTGCAGTTGTACCACAAGCATGCTCCAAAGACGTGCAGAAACTTCTTGGAACTGTCACGGAGAGGGTACTACAGTGGCACTAAGTTCCACCGCGTGATTAAGGTGAGGCGGCAAAGCGAGTGTATGGTGAGGTGAGCTGGTGAACTCAGTGATCAATTTGAGCTGCCAAATTGAGTGATCAATTCCATCTGGTGGAATTTCGGCTGGTGATTTCAATTATTGCAGGGGCCCAGATTAGCCTTGGACCCTTAGCAAGTCCTTGGTGGCAATTTTTTAGTTTCGTTATCTTTCCAATCACCAATACTGCTGCTTCAGCAAAATTGAGTTTTCCCATTCACCCCTGTCACTGCTACATTGTGCATTGACAGGATTTTATGGCTCAAGGCGGTGATCCCACAGGGACTGGACGAGGAGGCGAGTCCATCTATGGGTGAGTGATTATCATAAGTGTTTGAATCTCAGGGACTCAGATCAGGGTTCTGTCACTGCGTTTGAGTTCGTATTGCTGCAGTTTCAAACTTCATAGTACTGCACGTCCCAATCATTCTCAGCAGCTTGACCCTCTCAGTTCTCGTTTGTACCCTCCCCCTCCTCCCCTCATTCTCCCTCGTTTAAAGCTTCCTTCCTTCTGTCTGTAGCCTCCACCTCACTCTCCTCTGTTCCTTCCATCATCACTATCCCCTCTCCGTTCCTGTGCCACATTTGAAGGTGATATTGCTCACTCCGATCCTCTCTTCTTCCCCTGAACCCTCCCTCTTCCGCCTCCCCTTTCTGTTACCCGATGGCTCAGAGCCAAGTTTGAGGATGAGATAACGCGCGAGCTAAAGCACACGGGCGCGGGCGTGCTCTCCATGGCCAATGCCGGGCCCAACACCAACGGCAGCCAGTTCTTCCTCACGCTCGCCCCCACTCCCTGGCTCGACGGTGCGTTGATTGATTTCTCTCTCCCATACTCCCTGGCCTGGTGATGCATCCAGGGATCACCCTCGCCCCCGAACTGCCTCAACAAATACTGATTCAACATTCAATGCCTCAAATGCACTGCACAAAATTACCAATTTCGGAGGTTGCTAGATTGGCTATATCCTGTCTTGTCTCATTCGGTTTTCCTGTTGCACTCCAGGAAAGCACACCATATTTGGCCGTGTGTCGCATGGAATGGATGTGCTGAAACGGCTGGGCAACGTGCAGGCAGACAAGACTGACAGGTGATGGTTCAGGAACGGGATACGTTATTGTATTCATGCACAGTAACCCAGTTCTCTTCTCTTCCCCGCTAGTGGGTGATGCAGAGGTCTTCCTTACCGTACCTTGTGATCTGTGCTTTTGTGTCAGTCTTAATTTTCCCGCTCACGCTGGTTCGCTCCGTCTTGCCTCACCTCACGCTGATCGTTCGCTTGGTGCTGTGCAGGCCCATCCATGATGTGAAGATTATCAAAGCAGTTCCAAGAGACTAACCTAAAGTTTAAATGGTTGGCTGGTTAGGGGATCGCAGTATCTGTTTAGCGGCAATAAATATGGTTTCGTTAAAATGCCTCAACAACTCCCCTCATGCTTTGCAGTGCACAACTTACATTTTTACATTTAGTTTGAAAAGTGCACTGGCCCACATTTTTACATTTAGTTTGAAAAGTGCACTGGCCCTAGCCACAAACGGAGATAGCCCGATCAACACCCCAACACCTTCTTGTTGATCATATGCTTACCTCAGCGCCGTCGAGCAACACCAGCCCCCATGGCGCCATCGGCGCGCTCCGTCGTCAGGGCTCGCTTGCTCCTGCCGTCCAACCCCTCCGCGAGTTACGCCGAGTACACTTGCCGCGTCGCATTCCAGGCCCACTCGCGTCGGTACGTCCGTTCCTAGTCGAACTCAAGGAATCCTGCCGTGTCGCATTCGCGGCTCGTTGAACCTTTCCCCGGAAATCTCCTTTTTGAACTACTAGATCGCAACGTTGTTTTGAGGCGAGAACTCGCTTGCGGCGGCCCGCGATATTATTCTCTCCACACTGACTGCGTCTTTCATTATCTCGCTAGTGTCCTTGCCTCACCCGCGTATTTCCCGCACTCTTTAACCCTCCTCTCCTCCCCCTTCTCCTATCCCTTCCCAGCGATGGCGTGTGTGACGCGTACATTGCATCTGGACGCCAGGTGTATCACTGTCAGATGCCAATAGGCCAGGAGAATCTGTTGGAACAGGGCAAGGCGCAGGTGCTTCTGCCGCACCCTGTCGAGGTGGGTTTTGTTCATTGACACTGTTCATGTGTGTTCTGTTATGCACACTCTTCGGTTAAGTTGATTTACCCTGATCACTTGGCCTTTTGAGTTCACATTGTTCATTTTTCAAGTGGGTTCACATTATTCAGCTGGAATTCAGGAGGTTTCTGCTTGCATCATACGAGTGCCGCCTCATCATCATATCACCTCTTCATGCCATGTGTCCACACCATTCCACTGGTCAACCTTTCTTCCCATGTCTCCCTTCTCATTCCCCTCCCATCCCCCTCCCTTTGTCACCACCCTCCACACCCTCAGGACGTCACTCCAGTGGCTGTTCCGTCTCTCCTTCAGGCAACGCCCGTTCAGAGCCTCGCATCTGCCACCTTGGAAGACATGGGAGGGCGAGCAGGTGAGCAGGCAGGAGAGGTGATCAGGGCGAGCAGGTGAGCAGGAGAGGTGATCAGGGCGAGCAGGTGAGCAGGAGAGGTGATCAGGGCGAGCAGGTGAGCAGGAGAGGTGATCAGGGCGAGCAGGTGAGCAGGAGAGGTGATCAGGGCGAGCAGGTGAGCAGGAGAGGTGATCAGGGCGAGCAGGTGAGCAGGAGAGGTGATCAGGGCGGGCAGGTGAGCAGGAGAGGTGATCAGGGCGAGCAGGTGAGCAGGAGAGGTGATCAGGGCGAGCAGGTGAGCAGGATAGGTGATCAGGGCGAGCAGGTGAGCAGGAGAGGTGATCAGGGCGAGCAGGTGAGCAGGAGAGGTGATCAGGGCGAGCAGGTGAGCAGGATAGGTGATCAGGGCGAGCAGGTGAGCAGGAGAGGTGATCAGGGCGAGCAGGTGAGCAGGATAGGTGATCAGGGCGAGCAGGTGAGCAGGAGAGGTGATCAGGGCAAGCAGGTGAGCAGGAGAGGTGATCAGGGCGAGCAGGTGAGCAGGAGAGGTGATCAGGGCGAGCAGGTGAGCAGGAGAGATGATCAGGGCGAGCAGGTGAGCAGGAGAGGTGATCAGGGCGAGCAGGTGAGCAGGAGAGGTGATCAGGGCGAGCAGGTGAGCAGGAGAGGTGATCAGGTGGAGAAGGTGAGCAGGATAGGTGATCAGGGCGAGCAGGTGAGCAGAAGAGGTGATCAGGGCGAGCAGGTGAGCAGGATAGGTGATCAGGGCGAGCAGGTGAGCAGGAGAGGTGATCAGGGCGAGCAGGTGAGCAGGAGAGGTGATCAGGGCGAGCAGGTGAGCAGGAGAGGTGATCAGGGCGAACAGGTGAGCAGGAGAGGTGATCAGGGCGAGCAGGTGAGCAGGAGAGGTGATCAGGGCGAGCAGGTGAGCAGGAGAGGTGATCAGGGCGAGCAGGTGAGCAGGATAGGTGATCAGGGCGAGCAGGTGAGCAGGAGAGGTGATCAGGGCGAGCAGGTGAGCAGGAGAGGTGATCAGGGCGAGCAGGTGAGCAGGAGAGGTGATCAGGGCGAGCAGGTGAGCAGGATAGGTGATCAGGGCGAGCAGGTGAGCAGGAGAGGTGATCAGGGCGAGCAGGTGAGCAGGAGAGGTGATCAGGGCGAGCAGGTGAGCAGGAGAGGTGATCAGGGCGAGCAGGTGAGCAGGAGAGGTGATCAGGGCGAGCAGGTGAGCAGGAGAGGTGATCAGGGCGAGCAGGTGAGCAGGATAGGTGATCAGGGCGAGCAGGTGAGCAGGAGAGGTGATCAGGGCGAGCAGGTGAGCAGGAAAGGTGATCAGGGCGAGCAGGTGAGCAGGAGAGGTGATCAGGGCGAGCAGGTGAGCAGGAGAGGTGATCAGGGCGAGCAGGTGAGCAGGATAGGTGATCAGGGCGAGCAGGTGAGCAGGAGAGGTGATCAGGGCGAGCAGGTGAGCAGGAGAGGTGATCAGGGCGAGCAGGTGAGCAGGAGAGGTGATCAGGGCGAGCAGGTGAGCAGGAGAGGTGATCAGGGCGAGCAGGTGAGCAGGAGAGGTGATCAGGGCGAGCAGGTGAGCAGGAGAGGTGATCAGGGCGAGCAGGTGAGCAGGAGAGGTGATCAGGGCGAGCAGGTGAGCAGGATAGGTGATCAGGGCGAGCAGGTGAGCAGGAGAGGTGATCAGGGCGAGCAGGTGAGCAGGAGAGGTGATCAGGGCGAGCAGGTGAGCAGGAGAGGTGATCAGGGCGAGCAGGTGAGCAGGAGAGGTGATCAGGGCGAGCAGGTGAGCAGGAGAGGTGATCAGGGCGAGCAGGTGAGCAGGATAGGTGATCAGGGCGAGCAGGTGAGCAGGAGAGGTGATCAGGGCGAGCAGGTGAGCAGGAAAGGTGATCAGGGCGAGCAGGTGAGCAGGAGAGGTGATCAGGGCGAGCAGGTGAGCAGGAGAGGTGATCAGGGCGAGCAGGTGAGCAGGATAGGTGATCAGGGCGAGCAGGTGAGCAGGAGAGGTGATCAGGGCGAGCAGGTGAGCAGGAGAGGTGATCAGGGCGAGCAGGTGAGCAGGAGAGGTGATCAGGGCGAGCAGGTGAGCAGGAGAGGTGATCAGGGCGAGCAGGTGAGCAGGAGAGGTGATCAGGGCGAGCAGGTGAGCAGGATAGGTGATCAGGGCGAGCAGGTGAGCAGGAGAGGTGATCAGGGCGAGCAGGTGAGCAGGAAAGGTGATCAGGGCGAGCAGGTGAGCAGGAGAGGTGATCAGGGCGAGCAGGTGAGCAGGATAGGTGATCAGGGCGAGCAGGTGAGCAGGAAAGGTGATCAGGGCGAGCAGGTGAGCAGGAGAGGTGATCAGGGCGAGCAGGTGAGCAGGATAGGTGATCAGGGCGAGCAGGTGAGCAGGAGGGGGGCTGATGAACACGTGGCTTACATGTCTCAGGTTCAAAAGGATAAGGGAGGCAGTAGCACTGGAAGAGCGCATGGAGCGCATGAAGCTCAATCACATCTGACTCTCTCCAGCACAAGCATATCATATGGCTCACCTGTGTTTTCAGTGGACACAGCACAAGCGTGAACACGTGGCTTATATACGTTAGGACGAGGGCATCTGCTCATTTGCATCTGCTCATTTGCATCTGACTCTCTCTTGCACGAACGTCTGGCTCTGCTTTACCTCTTCTTTCCCCGTTTTTCCCTTCCCCTGCCCTCCCCCTTCCACCTTTCTCTTCTCCTGCTATCCAATCTTGCCTGTAGCCGCCACGCTCCTTTCCTCAGTGGACTCACTCGGTCGAACCATGGTTTCCACCTTCTCGTCCTCTTCTGGTATGTCAACCAAGTCAACCAAGTCAGAGTGACTCTTATCCAACCTTGCCCGCCACTCTCCTTTCCTCTGTAGACTCACTCGGTCGAACCATCGTCTCCACCTTCTCCTCTTCATCTGGTCAGTCTGCCAGGTCAACCGAGTGAACTTAGTCAGCTCTCTTTCTCTCTACTTGTATCTTGTATGTGTCTCCTTTGTTGGCCAATACACGTGCATGCCATTCCATCATTCTGCTGCTCCCCTCCCCTCCCCTCCCCTCCCCTCCCTTTCCCCCTCCCCTCCCCTCCCCCTCTCCCACGTGTCAGCATCAGCAACTATTGAATTCATCTCCCTCTCTCCCACTCCCCCACTCTCCCACTCCCTCTGCGACTCCTCCCCATCTCTTCCGTCTCCCCCCACATGGCAGTGAATCCTGACTCCCTCTGCCACCTCTCCTTCTCCCCCTGCAGCATCTCTAAACTCCCAACTGTGACCCTGCTGCGCATGTGCGTCTGCTTCCTTCTCTCTTCCCCCGTCCCTCCTCCCCATCTCTCCCATCTCCCCCTACATCGCAGTGAATCCTGATTCCATCTGCCACCTCGTCCCCTCCCCCTGCGGCATCACTGAGGCAGGGCCGTGCTGCACTGCTGTCTCGGTCACAGGGCCTTCCACCATCCGGGTATGGCAAGCATGTTATGTGGTACAGTGTACAGCGTTTGTGTACGTGCGTTCAGTGGCACAGTATAAAGCGTTTCTTCCACCCTGTGGCATCACTGGGCCGGGACCATGCTGCACTGCTGTCTCGGTCACAGGGCCCTCCACCATCCGGGTATGGCTCACGTACCTTTCTACTGTGTATGTTTAGATTGTTCTGTGCAAGCGTTTGTTTGTTCGCCCATGCGGCATCACTGAGGCAGGGCCGTGCTGCACTGCTGTCTCGGTCACAGGGCCTTCCACCATCCAGGTATGGCAAGCATGTTCTGTGGTACAGTATACAGCGTTTGTGTACCCGCGCTCACTAAAGCGTTTGTTCCCCCCTGCGGCATCACTGAGCCGGAACCGTGCTGCACTGCCATCCCCGTCACAGGACCCTCCACCCTGCGGGTATGGCAAGCAAGCATACGCGATACAGTGTAAACATAGTACTTTCTCCCTTCCTTCCTTCCACCACACTCTAACCCACCCCACTCTGGTTTCTTGCACAGGTACAATCTAACTGTACCCCTCCATTGCCTCCCAGTATGTATTTCCCCCTTTCCTTCCCTCTCGCAACCTCAATCCCACCCACCCTCTCCCCCCTCACTTCTTCCCCCGCTCACACCAGTCCCCTTCCCCTGCTTCCCAGTGTTCCACCGGCCCTCTCCACTCCCCCTCTCTTCAACCCGCTTCCCTCTCCTCACCTTTCAAGGTGGCCACATCCTGTTTCTTCCCCCGCTCCCTAGACCTGCGTGACCCTACCTCCCCCACCCCCTGCTTACCACCGTTTTCCCGTCCCCATCCACACCCCTCCTTCTCCTTCCCCCCTGCGCAACCTCCCCCCTAATCCCCATCAGGTGCCTACCTGTTGTTTCTTCCCCCGATCAGTGGACCTACACGACCCCGCCGCCCCCTCCCCCACTTCCCAGTGTTTCCCTTCCCTCTTCCACACCCCCTCCCCTCGCCTCTCAACAGGTGGCCACCTCTCGTTTCTTCCCCCGATTATGGACCTACATGCCCGCCTCCCGCTTCCTTACTCACCGAGCCTCCCTCCCCCCCATCCTCCATCCCGCTGTCCCCCCTCAACAGGTGGCCACCTCTTGCTTCTTCCCCTGCTCAGTAGACCTGCACGACCCCGCCCCCCCCTCCTGCTTTCCAGTGTTTCCTCTCCCTCCCCCTCACCCCCTCCCTTCCCCCCTGCACCAGGTGGCCACCTCTCGTTTCTTCCCCCGCTCAGTGGACCTGCACGATCCAGCCTCCCCCTCCCCCGCTTCCCCCCTGCGCACATTCCGCCTGCCCTTCCCCCCCGCTGCTGTGGGCTTCCTGGGGGGAACCGAGAGGGGCAGGGGGGGAGGAAAGCGGAGGGGAGGGGAGATGGATGGGGAGGGGGACTTGAATGCAGTTGAAGGGGTTCGCCTGCTGGCAGTGTGCGAAGGCCCTCAGGTGTGTGTGGGTGGGGGGTCTCTTTTGTGCAGTTGGGTGTGGTGGGATTTCTCAGATGTGTGTTTGGGGGGACTCACGTGCATGTAGGGGAGGGGGAGTTCGTGTGCACGGCGCACCACAGCTCACACACGCATGCATGCAAACAAGCGTGCATGTCCACACCATTGAACTGCTGAATTAGCAACCCATGCCGGCAGCCCCTGCCTGAAATTTTCCTAGCACCAACGTCTAACGTCACCATGCCATGTCACCATGCCACGTCATCATGCCAGCTCAGCATCTGGGATGAGCGGGCTGCTGAAAACGGTGGCTGCATCCAGCGAATCACCGTCTCTCCCGCTGGCGAGCCTCTCTACGCCCTAGCTTCGACAGCAGGCCCAGGAACAGGCTCGATAACAGGCTTGGTAGCTGTAGGAGGGGCTGAGCGCACTGTAGCTGTGTACGACGTGCGGAAATGGGCGGCAAGAGGCCGATGGGTCGGCTGCGTTCGTCAGGACGTGATGGGAATAGCTTTCCCTGTGGCTGGTGGTGAGAGAGGGAACACAAGAGAGGAGGGACAGGAGGAACAGGAGAGACAGGAGGGTCTTTCGTTTGGGTCTGATGAGTGTGTGTTTGTGTGGAGTGGAGACAACGAGGTGGTTTGTGGGAGGTGGACTGAGGGCGAGGGGAGGGCGAGAGGGGTGCAAAGAGCAGATAAGGGGAGGGGGAAAGGGGGGACTGCACGGGGGGGAAAAGGGGGGAATGGGGAGGGATTGAGGATGGGGGGAGGGGAAGGGCGCAGCCAAGCAGAGAGAAGGTAAACCAACAGAACAGAGAGCAGCAGAACAGGGTGCAGCAGAACAGAGAGCAGCAGAATGATAGAGGGGACGCTTTTAATGAGGATGTGGGTTTTGCACACAGGGAGGAGGATTCAGAGTTGCACAGAAGAGGAGCACTTGAAGAGAGAGACAGAGGGGAAGGTGGAGGGGCGGGGGAAGCAGACGGAGAAGCAGCAGCGGAGGGGGGCAAGGGGGCATCGCGAGTGCACCAGTCGTTCCGAGGGGACAGTGCCTGGTGCGGCATTGCAAGGGTGAGTGTGGCTGGGCTGTATGAGGGAAGCATGGACGGTGTTTGTCACCAACGGTTGAGGATGAGTAACATCACAGGGGAGGGTCATCTCAGCTTTTGAGTCGACTCGAAAACTGACGGTTGAGGATGAGTCACATCACAGGGGAGGGTCATCTCGGCTTTTGAGTCGACTCGAAAACTGACGGTTGAGGATGAGTCACATCACAGGGGAGGGTCATCTCGGCTTTTGAGTCGACTCGAAAACTGACGGTTGAGGATGAGTCACATCACAGGGGAGGGTCATCTCGGCTTTTGAGTCGACTCGAAAACTGACGGTTGAGGATGAGTCACATCACAGGGGAGGGTCATCTCGGCTTTTGAGTCGACTCGAAAACTGACGGTTGATGATGAGTCACATCACAGGGGAGGGTCATCTCGGCTTTTGAGTCGACTCGAAAACTGACGGTTGAGGATGAGTCACATCACAGGGGAGGGTCATCTCGGCTTTTGAGTCGACTCGAAAACTGACGGTTGAGGATGAGTCACATCACAGGGGAGGGTCATCTCGGCTTTTGAGTCGACTCGAAAACTGACGGTTGAGGATGAGTCACATCACAGGGGAGGGTCATCTCGGCTTTTGAGTCGACTCGAAAACTGACGGTTGATGATGAGTCACATCACAGGGGAGGGTCATCTCGGCTTTTGAGTCGACTCGAAAACTGACGGTTGAGGATGAGTCACATCACAGGGGAGGGTCATCTCGGCTTTTGAGTCGACTCGAAAACTGACGGTTGAGGATGAGTAACATCACAGGGGAGGGTCATCTCGGCTTTTGAGTCGACTCGAAAACTGACGGTTGAGGATGAGTCACATCACAGGGGAGGGTCATCTCGGCTTTTGAGTCGACTCGAAAACTGACGGTTGAGGATGAGTCACATCACAGGGGAGGGTCATCTCGGCTTTTGAGTCGACTCGAAAACTGACGGTTGATGATGAGTCACATCACAGGGGAGGGTCATCTCGGCTTTTGAGTCGACTCGAAAACTGACGGTTGAGGATGAGTCACTTCACAGGGGAGGGTCATCTCGGCTTTTGAGTCGACTCGAAAACTGACGGTTGAGGATGAGTCACATCACAGGGGAGGGTCATCTCGGCTTTTGAGTCGACTCGAAAACTGACGGTTGAGGATGAGTCACATCACAGGGGAGGGTCATCTCGGCTTTTGAGTCGACTCGAAAACTGACGGTTGAGGATGAGTCACATCACAGGGGAGGGTCATCTCGGCTTTTGAGTCGACTCGAAAACTGACGGTTGAGGATGAGTCACATCACAGGGGAGGGTCATCTCCTCTTCTCCCCTCCTCTGCTCCTCGCCTCTTCTCCATCCCCCGTGTGCATGTGCTGTGCAGGACTTCAACTCTAATCTGCTTGCAGGCTGGTGCATGTCTGGCAGTTTTATACTCGCTGATTTCACTTGCTAGTGCATCAACGCACGGCAGTGAGCTTGTTCTGAGACGTACCGTAGCAAAAAAGTATATTTACATAAATCTCATGTGGATGTGGGAAATGGCACATGAGATGGGTTTCATTCAGTTTGTGGCATGCGATGGTGTGAGGGCTCCTGTTCAGTCTGTTCCATGTGGCTGACAAAACTCTGTAACCCTGGAGAATGTGACTGGAGGAACAGTTGACTTTTGTAACAGGCTGTAGCATGCTGCAGGAGTGCCGCACTCCTGAACATTAAATTCCAGTCAAACATTGTTACTTTTATATAGCTTTCACCTTCTCTACAATCTTTTCAATCACAGAATCCATCAGCTCAGGGTGTGCTGCTGGGTCAGGTAGGCCCCAATCCTCCACAGTGGTGCTTGCAGGGAGGTCCACCTTGGGTAGGTTTGGCTGCAGGCAGGAGCAACCAACCATGCAATGCACGTACGTCAATAAACGCCAAATGGGCTAGGTACATGAGAGCCAAGGCATGAGGTCAGGGAGGAGAGGGCCAATGGCATGGTGTGGCTAATGCACATTTGGCAGGCACCACAGCAGGTAACTAAAATTGACAAAGGAACACTTTAATATCACGAGACTCTGATAAAAAAAAAAAACCACCATCATGACTCACCAGACAGCCCATCATCACGATCAGGTCCCAATTGTTTTCCAGGCCCCCAATCGCCTCATCTGCAATTCCCTGTGATAGGTGCAAGCAAGGGAGGATAAAAAGGGCGAAGAAGAGACGAAAATGAAGGGAATAAGGGGGATGCCTAGCAGCGAAATGCAACCGTCTCTGCATGTGCTAATGATGAGCACCAATGCAGCTCCCCATCTGTCAGCGCATTATGTGGTGAATCTATCATGTCTGTCACCTTGGAGCGTGCATGGTCCGTGGGATAGCCGCGAGTCTTGAGGGCCTCGATCATGACCGGGTTTAGCCTGCCTGCTGCATCCACACCTGCCACAAGACAAGTCACAGCAGCAGTATGGGAACGCCACGCTCTTATCACCGCTGGTGTTTTTCTTTTCAAGAATCCCCAATGCACCTCAATACCTGCCACAAGCCACTGCAAGAAAGCCACAGCACGATTTTATCATCCAGTTGCTCATGCCGGTTAATGGATTTCCATCATCCACCCAAGCTGCTACCTATCACAGCTCAACAGAACTCGTTGTCATTCGCATACTCTGTCACAGATCCCTCAAATTAACTTCACGCAGCGGATCTAGCTTTCATCCCCCCCATTCTTCCCATTCTTCCCTCTCCGTCCCAATCTTCCTTCATTCTTCCCGCATTCGTCCGCCTCTATCGCGTGATACAGCCCCTTGTCGGCCCGTACCTGCGCTTGCGACTTCGAGTTCCGGACGCAGATGCCTCGCGATCGCTTCGGCCGCGATCGACCGGTTCGCGTTGTGGCTGCAGACGAACAGGACGCGCTTCGGCATACTGTCTACTCGGCGTTATAGCCTGAGACGAAAGGCCGTGATTGGATGGAGAAACATACGGGAAAAAATACTGGTTGAGAAAGTAGACGGTGGAATGGAGAAAAGGGTGAAGAGGGGACGAGGGGGGCAGGGGGTTTTAAGGGGGGAGGATTGTTAGGAACGACGGGAGTGAACCAACGAGAACACCGACTGAGGGGGTTCGTGCGATGTTACAGCACCAGCGGACCCATCGACATCAACCAAGTATGAAATAGCCCTGAAGCGAGGGAGCGCTGATGTAGACAAAGAAGTGGCCAGCCAGCTAAGAGAAGGCATATGCGGTTTGGAAATTAAAGAAGAAATGCGAAGCGTAGCAGAGCGCAGGACTGACCTCGAGAGTGGGAGGTATCACTGGTGTAAGCTACACACCAGCAAAGTCTCTCTCCGCGAGCAGGGTGCGAGAAACGGTCTCTTTCGATTAAATTACTCAAACAATAATAAATGGACTGTCCCGTAGCCGGCGCATCTGTCTCCGTTGAACTTATATGTCGGGTCAGGGCCATCGCAGCCATGCTTTACCTGGAGTGTGAGCCACTAAACAGAAAAGCCTTCCTCTCAAAAGTCAGCTCAGAAAGGAGAATGGAGCTGTGCGGGCGGAGAACAGGCGGAGGGAGGGGAGGGGGGAGCAGTTTGGAGGGAAGAGCATTCCCCCATTCCCCTCTTTTCCTGCGGAAGGAATATTCCTTTTCTAGGAATTTCCTCGAAATGTCGTGAGTATCTAGACGTTTTGGGAGGTCGAGTTTACCCCAACAAGTGGTAACCTTCCCGATTACCCTTGATACCCTTTAAAGTTTTGAAATTCAGGCTACTGTACTATATTGAAGGGGAGGAACAAGTGTTTATTCGACGGAATTGGCTTTCTCGGAAACAGTTCGTTGATAAGTTAGACCGAATCTTGAACATAGAAGCTGCAAACCTATTGCTGCCAAGCTGCACGATTCCTTCGCGCGAAATCTCCATCAACACCTATACGTCTTGGGAATCCCGCCGCCAAATACGCCACCCACTCACAGCCCTCGATCATCGCCATGTATAAAACCAACTTGAATCAAAGTGACTGGGAAAGAAGGTCGCACCTGTCACCGTTATCTCAGTTCGATCCGACTTGTTCCCGAACTCTCCAGCAGCTTCGACTTGCTGTCTCCGTGCTTTCTGGTTATAACATCACATCGCGTCGCCATCAAGTGACAAGCCGGTGCCATGGCTGAAGCGCAAGCTCAGGGCGTGGAGGTGCAATGCGTGCCGGAGAACAAGAACCTTCCGCCGCTGCTCGCGTCGTCAGAGCCCGGCGCGGACGAGCAGCAGCTGGGTCTGCGCTGCCGCTTCACGCGCAGCACGGGCGAGACGGAGGAGTACCCGGCTACCATGAAGAAAGCGGGAAGCGGCGCGACGCATTTCAGCTGCTGTTGCCCGTCCGAGGTACGTCATTCAAAATCACGTCCATCGGGCAGGATAGTCCATCATCGACGAGTTTTACTACTACTGATGCGCGACTCGTGCTCCCCGTCTCGACCCTCTCCCGCCCTTCCCCTTCATTTACATATTCATTCTCCCCAAACTTTGGGTTGAACCACCTTCGCATCACATTCCTTCTCCTTACTCCTACTCCCTCTCCCCCTCTCCCCTACCCCCGTACCCTCTCCCCTCTCCCCTTTCCCGTCCTCCTTCCCCACGAAAGGCCGTTCCGCGTACGGACTCGCGCGCGGCGCTGGTTTGGGGCGCGGAAGGCGAGGCGGAGGTGGCGTGCCGCGTGGTGGAGGCGCTGGAGGAGAAGAACGCGCCCGCCGTCAAGGAGCTCTCCGCTGCCGGTAGGTTCCTACATTTCGCAGCATGCCACAGCATGCCACAGCATGCCACAGCATGTCGCAGCATGTCGCTGCTCCCTCCCCGCAAAATTCCCTCGTCTCTTTCAAATTTCTCTTACTCCCGCTCACTCCTCCATCAACCCCCCTTATTCTCAGATTCCACAATTCCCCTATTCAACATCAGCGTGCAGCCGTCTTCCGCAGCATGTCGCTGCTCGATCGCTTCCTCGCCGTGTGGATGCTGCTCGCCATGATCATCGGAGTGCTGCTCGGCTACTACGTGCCCGCCATACCCCAGGCTTCCCTCCTCATCCCCTTACCCCCTCTCTTTGCCTTCCCCCTCCCCGTAAATCGTACAGCCGTCGTCCGCAGCATGTCGCTGCTCGATCGTTTTCTGGCCGTGTGGATGCTCCTCGCCATGATTATCGGGGTGCTGCTGGGCTACTACGTGCCACCAAACCTCCCTCCTCAACCCATCCCCCATCTTTGCACCTTCTCTCCCCTGTGACACATGCAGCTGTGTTTCGCAGCATGTCGCTGCTCGATCGTTTTCTGGCCGTGTGGATCCTGCTCGCCATGATCATCGGAGTGCTCCTCGGCTACTACGTGCCCGCCATCCGCGACGCCTGGGAGACCGTCTCCGTCGCCAGCGTGTCGCTGCCCATCGCCATCGGCCTCTGGTGGATGATGTACCCCGTGCTTTGCAAGGTAGGGTTATTTACCCTGCGCTCAGCAGCAAGGTATGGTTTTTTTCCCAAGGCCGTAAAGAGGTTTGGATTGTGATTGTGTTGAGACATGTGAGCAAACAAGGGCATAGGTCCAAGCAAAGTCAGGTTAGACCCAAAGTCCACTTGGTTGCTTATGACTCAGGTGCCTTCTTGACCCCTAAAACCTATTATCGAACCCAAGAATCAAACCTGAGATTCAAATCTGAGATTCGTTCGCCACCTTCCCTCCTCTACTTCCTTGTGTGCAGGTTCGGTTTGAGCTGCTGCCGAAGCTGTCCCGGTCCTGGGGCCTGCTGTTCCACATCGGCGTCTCCCTGGCGATCAACTGGGTGGCCGCTCCCCTGCTCATGACTGGTGCGTCCCTTATGATTCCAACTGATTCATGTTCCCTGGATCTCTTCACTTATTTTGTTTTTTTTTGTTTTTTTTTTACTGCAAAGCTCTTAGCACTGGTTGCTCCTTCCATTCCAACAGCAAGCCCTCCTCTCCAATCCCTGCTCCATACCAAACTCGATCTCATCCATCTCAACTTTGTCTCCTCTCCGTTGCTCCCCTCCCACCACCAGGGCTGGCATGACCCACTCTTCCTGATAAAACTTGGCTGCGCTCGGGCATCATCCTGGTTCTCGTGTGTTGTCTCTAGATCCACCATCACTCACCCCCCATTCTTTTCCCTCCACTCTGCCCTCCCGTTGCTCTCTTCCCCACCACCAGGGCTGGCATGGGCCACTCTCCCCGACCAAGCAGGGCTGCGCTCAGGCGTCATCCTGGTGGGCATAGCGCGTTGCATCGCCATGGTGCTCATCTGGAACCACCTGGCGGGCGGCAACGCCGAGTTCTGTGCCATCCTCGTTGCCGTCAACTCCATTCTGCAGGTACGTGCCTGTGCTCCTGCTCTGCATTGCCACTGCTTCCTGTCGTGCCTGCAGTTGCACGCCATGCCGCAGCTCTCGACTCCATCTTGCAGCTCCCTTCTCGCGCTCCTTTCGCCTGAATCTCCCCTCCCCTTTGTTCTCCAGATGTCGGGCCTCTGCCAACCTCTTCTCATCCACGGACCCATCTTCTCGTCTGCTCGCTTGCTCCTCTGTTATTTCCCCCCACAGGTGATCCTCTACTCGCCTCTGGCCATATTCTACATCGACGTGCTGTCGCACGGCGGGTCAGTGGACGTGTCCTTCTGGACCGTCGCCAAGAGCGTCCTCGTCTTCCTCGTCTGCTCATCTTCCTCGGAGTGCCTCTCCCCTCCCATTTCCCCCACAGGTGATCCTGTACTCACCACTTGCCATCTTCTACATCGACGTTGTCTCCCATGGCGGGTCAGTAGATGTGTCCTTCTGGACCGTAGCCAAGAGCGTCCTCATCTTCCTCGGCGTGCCTCTCCTCGCAGCTGTCATCACGCGCTTCACGCTGCGCGCGCTGCTGGGAGCCAAGTGGTATGATGAGAAGTTCCTGCCGTGGTTCGGCCCCACGGCGCTGCTCGGGCTGCTCTTCACCATCTTTGTCATGTTCTCGCTGCAAGGCCAGAACATTGGGAACAACATTGGCAAGGTACGGAACTCTCTCTTTTGTTTTGTTCCCATTGGCATCGAATCCTTTCTTGTGCAATGCAGCTCATTTTCGAATTCTTCAATTGACTCTCATACCAAAGATGTTATTTTGAGTCACCATGCAGTTATTTTATCAGTGTTTGTCACCCCCTGCTCCCCTCTTGTACCCCATCCCCATCCCTTCCATCATCCAGGTCGCTCGTGTGTCTGTGCCTCTCCTGATCTATTTCGGAATCGTCTTCTTCAGTGTTATGGCCCTCTGCTGGCGCCTTGGGTTCGCCTACTGCGACGCCGTCACGCAGTCTTTCACCGCAGGGAGCAACAACTTCGAGCTCGCAATTGCCGTCGCCGTGGCATCCTATGGCATTGGCTCGGATGAGGCCTTGGCAGCTGTTGTGGGGCCGCTGATTGAAGTGCCTGTGCTTATTGGTCTCGTTTATGTCACGCTCTGGATCCGCCAGAAGCTTCAGTGGAAGAACCACGGAGCTGTTCTGGATGCTGATGATTTCTTGGAGAAGGAATGAGCATGGAAAAGCTGTTCCTTTTATTCGTCATGGTGGACTGTTGTACACTTCTCTACTATGAGATACCTACCGTGTACTTAGATCATGCCGTACGCGCCTAGAAGGCTTCTGTGTCCACTGGAAAGGGTTTGCTGTTCACAGGATCAAGGTTTTGAGGTGCTTGCTTAGTGTTCCATGCCGCAGGGACAGGTCTACTGCAGTCCTCTTTAGCTTGGGGAGGTTCTCAGCTGCTGGTGGACACAGAGGAGAAAATGCACAATAAACAGCACATGTTCATCCAGGGGGGCAAAATACCAATACAAGCACTTTGTTAAATGAGAGGACATGAAAGGCAAAAGGTTTTTCAGGTAATGCTGCACCTTGTGAAGGAGTCAAATGGTGTAGACGTGGAAGTTATGTTATTCTGGACACTTCGATCAAGCCTGCCCAGCAGGGATGGACTTGTTCCCGACTGGCGGAGCGTTTTGCGAATTGGAGAGGCGGGGACAGGTCCCATCCCTCGCTCGGGGTTTCCGGGAACAAGACAGGCACATCAAGATACCCTGACAGGCACATATCGTGGGCGGGTTCGCCTCGCCAGCCCTGGTACTAGGTATTGTTGTACAATACCTGGTTACCTCGCCGACAGTACCATCGATTTCGGGAATGGTTGTGGGAGCCCCGTTTTGCAAACTCCTTGTACTCTATTCCGCGCCTAATCTGCACTCGTATCACTGCCTCCGAGATGTATGAAAGGAGGGCGGTTCGGCCGTCCGTCCTGGAAGTATGGTGCGATGTGTGTGTGGGTATTGTTATGCTGTGCGCGCAAAAATTCATCATCCCGCTTGGTTCCGCACCAATCGGATGCCTGATGTATCCGAGAGGAGTATGATTGTTTTTGGCGCAGCCCGCGAATTTCGCTACGTGGTCATCGAAGCAATGGCCGAGTGCTCCAATGGAGAGGTGGATCAAAGAATTAGATCCAAGAGCCTTATTCCGTTCTTCCAAGTACGGGGTGGCTGACTCTAAGGACTTATTACGATCTCTAGCCACTTTTCTTACTCCAGCTCCCAATAGTTCTTAGCTGAACCTGCCTCATCTCACCATGGCTCCTCTCATCTCCTCCTTCAATGAGAATGTCCGTCCGATGCTCGATGCGATCGACAAGCTCCGACTTCTAGGTCTCAAGGAAGAGGGGATCGAGCTTCCGACGATCGTTGTGGTCGGTGTCCAATCCAGCGGCAAGTCGTCCGTCCTGGAGAACCTGTCCGGAATCAGCCTGCCGAGAGGCCAGGGGATCGTCACCCGAGTGCCGCTGATCCTAAGGCTCCAGTCGTGCATCGATGGTCAGGATGCGATTAAGATTGAATACACACCTCCTTCTGGTAAGGTATCCAAAATCATACCTGCCAAAGATCTGATCGAGGAGGAGATTTCCGAGGCGACTGTGGCGTTAGCCGGGAGCAGCAATGGCGTCATGAATTGCCCGATTACTTTGGAAATGCAGCGACCTGACTTGCCGGACTTAACGCTGGTGGATCTGCCAGGAATCACATATGTTCCTATCGAAGGCCAGCCAAAGGACATTTACGACCAGGTTAAGGCAATGATCATGCATTACATTACTCCAGAAGAGAGCGTCATTCTCAACGTTATTCCGGCTGAAGTGGATTTCACTACATGCGAATCCATTGTCATGTCGCAAGAGGTTGACGAAGATGGCGATCGCACCTTAGCTGTCGTCACCAGGGTCGACCGGGCTCCTGATGGCCTTTACAAGAAGATTCAAGGAAATTCGGTGGGGATCGGGCTTGGCTACGTGTGTGTCAGGAACAAGACTGACGCTGATGCTTCTTACGAGGATGCAAGAAAGGCAGAAGACGCCTGTTTCAACAACCATCCGGAATTGTCCCAGATCGAGTCCCATTCTCGTGGCATTCCAGCCCTGGCTCAACGCCTGACAGAACTTCAAGCCAAGAGGGTGGCAGACAGCATCCCAAGGATCCGACAGGCTATCCAGAAAGCGCTTGCTGCGAAGGAGTCTGAGTTGCAGACCATTCCGCCTGCAGCCACCTCAAACGCTGCAGCGCTGGGAATAGTTTCTTCAACGATTCAGAAGAGACGGGACATGATGAGTGGTGTCATCAATGGGAAGTATGGCCCTTTTCAGAGCGAAAATGCCTTGCACTATGCTGCCAGGCTGCACGAGAAGTTTAATGAGTTTGAGGCTAAGATGCGGAAGGTTCTCCCAGACTTCCTTGGAACCAACTACTCTGAAAGGTGTAAGGAGGCTCTGAAAGAGGTGGCTGGGGTTTCGCTCCCGAATGTGCTGGATCAGGCTATGGTGAAGCAGCTCGTTCAGGAGGTGGTGGACAGCATTGAAGTGCCATGCCTGCTGCTGGTGAATGACTGCTTCTCGTATGCAACCGAAGTGCAGCAGGGTGTGGCATCACGTGTTTGCGGGGTGTACCCTGGGCTGAACAACCTGGTTCATGTCCAAGGTCTCAACGTTCTGAGGGAGGCTAAGGAGTCAGCGAGCCGTTTTGTTCAGGACATGCTGACAAAGGAGAAGCGGGTCATTTTCACAATCAACCATTACTACATGGACACTGTTTCCAAAGTCCATGTGAAGATCGCTGATTTCAAGAAAGCAAAGTCATCTGCCCCAAATCCGGCATACTACGTCCAGGTTCCCTCTGTCAAAGATTTCGCTTCCAGCACTGCTTCACTCGCCAACTTGATAAGCAATGATGACCAGGCTGCGAGGGATCTCCAGGTCAACATGTTTTCGTATGCCAAGGTGATGCATAAGAGGTTGTGTGATGTGATCCCCATGGAGATACGGATGCGCTTTGAGACTGCCCTTTTGGATGGCACTGATGACGCTGTATGGCAGAATATTCATGTTGGGGACATTTCCAAGCTTGCAGCTCTCAAACCGATAGATGAGCAACGTAGGGTTCGATTAGAGGAGAGCATCAAACGGTTGAAGGCATCTGAAGCCACTCTGCTGGGCCTCACAATTGATGTTCCTAGACTGCTAACCTAGTCTGATGTATTGGATGCTAGATTTTTATGTTATAGTTTCTGATGCTGGTTGGTGGTGAACATTCTGTTAGTAATGGACATACCGGTAGCATATGTCCTGCATGTTTGAATTTTACATCTGCATTGTGGGATGAAATGACAGTAGAATCTCGATACGATAATGCTAGCTGCACTATGCAGGTAGGTACCTATTGTTCTTTTGTGAAATTCAAGAGATTTCAGTGGTCAAATTGCTACAGATTCTGAAGAGTGGAGGACAGACAACATCCTCACGGTGGCTGCACAAACAGAATCGTGTTGCAATTTCCAGTTATACGTAACTCAACCATAACTCATTTTCCTCCCAAGCTCAAGATGCTGGCAGCTGTATCCAGAAGGCATTGCTCGGACGAACGGTACTGCAGTCCCAGCTCCTTCTCCGACTTGCTTTTATCGAATCTGGGGACTTTGCTCAGATTTCGCCTCAGTACCTCAAAGCTCACTCCGGGAATGGTTAATGAGACCAGATACGTCAATGCACTTGGCATGGTGTACGTTGGAGTCTTGGCATTAGGGTAGTTCTTCTTGATGACAGCTGCATTCAACAACAACACACACACCAGTTAGCTTGCATAGAATCCATCAAACGTTCCAACAAGACAAATGGTCGGATCACACAGGTAAGGAGTCAGAGGGGCAAACAAACCTACCCGACATTTCTAGCATGCTGAGAGTGACGCCATTGCTTAGAATATATCGTCCCTTGGCAGTATCCTTCTCCAGTGCCAGTGCATGAGCAAGCACAACATCGTCAACATGAACAACGCCAAAATACAAGTCCGGGGCCATGAAGAGCCATCCACTCATCAGTTGCCTTATCACCTGAACAACCCATAGAAGCATTTTCAATGAGCAAGAAAGGGAATCAAGACAACGGAAAGACAACATTTTGAAGCATAACGCGACTACAGTGTATCTTACATCGAGGCTTGTTCGAACATGCGCCTTACGCATGGCTTTACCAAAAACCATGGCTGGACAGATGGTGACCAGTTCAAAAGACCAATCTTGACCTTTGAGATCTTCTGCGGTCTTCCAGGCATATTTCTCTGCAAGAGTCTTACCCATCGGGTATGGATCTTTGAGAGTAAGGTCTCGGTTCCAGTCTTCTTCAGTAAAAACATGGTCCTTGTTGTTTACGTAGTCAATAATTGCTGCTACAGATGAGGTGACCACCACCTTTCTGTGACAATGGCAAAAGCAATTGGCAGGACAAAATGTTTGGGAGGGGACTCACAACGGAGAAGGAGAGAGGAGAAGAGGGAGAAAGACAATAAGAGCGCAAGAGAGTGATGTAAGAGAGAGGCGGCGGGGGGCGGGGAGGAGGGTGTGGCGGTGAGAGGGTAGAGTAGTGGAATGCTGCACAGCACATGGAAAAGAAAATACAAGGAATAACGAAAGCTGTTCGCAAAGTCGCTAAGCTCACTTACTTGGCAGTTTTGTGCTTGATGATGGAAGAAAATACATTTCTCGTGCCCTCCAAAGCTGCATCCACAACAGTCTGCGGATTTGGCACACTGAAACGAACAAGAGAGGCGACGTGGCACACAAACTCGCATCCTTCAACGGCTTCGTCGAAGCTCCCAGGCTTGCCCAGGTCGGCTGAAAAGAGCTCAAGTTTGCCTGGAGTGCCCTCTGCCTGTCAGAAAATGAGGATGGTCACATTAGTTACTCATGCTCGTGCTGGATTGTTTGAGCGTTCTCTTTCGATATACAAACTTACGAGATCGCGAATCCATGACGTCTTCTCCTCATTGGTCGCGTCCCGAACTGTTCCGCGAACATTATACCCGCGATCCAGCAGAAGCTTGACGAGGTAGCTTCCGATGAAACCTGGGGCAAATTCGCACGAAGAAGGTCATGATTCATGACGATCGATTCAGATAGTTTCGAACGTGAACTAGCTAGGCGACAGACGACATTACCAGATGCCCCAGTGACACAGACTTTCTTCCCCTGTCCTGGCAACGACTCGCTGTCAGCCATGGTTGACAGCGTAGCTCAAACGATGATCTGAACGTCACCCTGAGCGACGCGGTCACACGGACCACTTTATGGGTCTTGTACGCGTCATGTCATGATTTGACTGGTGAGAAATTGGAACACACACCCATGTTCAAGTGGTGAACTAATCTAGGACATCAATTATTACTATGTGCTGACCTGGTTGCATTCCAAACGTCAGTCTGAAGATACAGCAAAAAGTTCAAATAAGAATTATCTGATGCCAATACATATGGAAGAATTAGTTTGTCCACTACAATCACTGAACCCCGATCCATCTTGCGTAGTCCACCCACCTGCAAAAAAAAAAAAACAAAGAGGTTAGTTAGCTCCAACAGCCAGTATTACTCAGCCAGGTCAACACAAAGGTGTTAGGTCTGCAAGACAGGAGGCTAATTAAGAAGGCAAACCACAATTACCCTCAAAACCGAACAGGTGAAGGAGGCATACTGCTCCCAGTTTGCCTCCCAGCTTTTGTAGTTCAAGTTCTTTGCTTTATAAGTGGTGGAAGGCATGGCATCGATACATTGTCAAGACACCAGCATTGGGAGAAGATGTTACTCACAAGAGAGAGCCAATGAACGTGTTGGATGTGCGGAAGATGAAGGAGAGCACTGAAAGCAGAGTCTTGTTGCCGTGGAATCTAGGCTCCAGCCACTGCTGCTCTATCACACCAGCCAATACTTGGTACCTGCACACACAAGAATTTGAGATATGTACAAAAACGTTATACATGAGAAAGCACACGACAAGTTGAGGTGAGATGAGACAAAACAGAGCAGGGAAGAATTGTGGTACACACACCCACGGACAACACACCACCTGTGAACAACCTCGAAGATGCATAACCTTTCCCTGCGTCACAACCCACCTTAGGTTTGCAGAAATCGCCATATAGGAACCATAAGCCAAGCTTGTAGCGAGAATAGGCACTTCGAGATCCGGTGGAATGGTCCCCGCAGCTGAAGTCGCCACCTCGGCAGCCGTGGCCAGCGCAGACGCCACATCAGCAGCCGACGCTGACACAGCAGCTGCCATGTCAGCAGCAACCGCCGGGTCCAATACCAAGGCAGCAGTCGTGGCGGCATCAAGGGCAGCAGCGGGGTTTAAAGTAGCAGCCAATTCAGCAGTTGAGTCGAGAGGGAAAGAGGCCGTGGTGAGGTCTAGGGAAGGGACTGTGGCAGCAGCAGCAGCAGCTGGGGGAGCAGCAAGCACCTTGCGTACCCACTGGAGAGCGTTGGTCATGCCACAGCCAAACTGGAAAGGGTCGGGGAGGGATGCAGTGCCATGAGGTAGTGGTACGAATGGCAGACATAAGAGTGTAGTTGAGTGATGCATGGTGGAGTGAGTGATGCATGGTGAAGTGAGTGAGTGATGCATGGTGAAGTGAGTGATGCATGGTGAAGTGAGTGAGTGATGCATGGTGAAGTGAGTGATGCATGGTGAAGTGAGTGATGCATGGTGGAGTGAGTGATGCATGGTGAAGTGAGTGAGTGATGCATGGTGAAGTGAGTGATGCATGGTGAAGTGAGTGATGCATGGTGAAGTGAGTGATGCATGTTGAAGTGAGTGATGCATGGTGAAGTGAGTGATGCATGGTGAAGTGAGTGATGCATAGTGAAGTGAGTGATGCATGGTGAAGCGAGGTCTGTGCGACTGATGTTGACAAATGGATGAACGGGTGGGCGAGAGAGAGAGAGAGGGGAGAGTCAGCTTACCAAGGATGCAGTCGTCCCAACAACCATTAGCTTTACTCCGTTCCTCTGAGATCAAGTGCGGAAAATGGTTGGGGGAGCGGGAGGTAAGAAGGGATGTGGAAGGCGGTTGAGAGCGGTTGACTCTGGGGAAAACATTGGGGCTGCCTGGAAGTTTGGGGGCCATGTTTGCAGTAGTTGGGTAATAAGGGTCAATGAAATGTTACAGGGGCTGGGAGGGGTCAAGTCGGATGGGGTAAGAAAAAGAGAAGTCAAGGATGGCAGGGGTGGAGGTAAGATGATTCTGGCAAAACAGGGACGCGCTTCGCTTTTGAAATTGTGAATCAGCAACGAGTGGAATTGGGATCAGAGCAGCAGCAGCAGCAGCAGCACCAGCAGCAGCAGCAGCAGCAGCAGTGGTGGGCCGCGGGAGAGGACTCACCAGCACGGCAGTGCAGCGCTGCAGGACAGTGTACTCCGTGCCACGTACAGGAACCTGGACAGTGCAACGCAACGGGGAGGAGGAAGGAACGACGAGGAACAAGAACTGGGCATGACGATAATGGGTGGTCGAAGCATGTGGTCAGATGATGAGCAAGGCATGTCAAGATAGCCGTTCCGTTTCTTATAATGTGAACCTTCCCCAACTGTCCCTTCTTGGGATGTGACCCACCAATCTACCCCTGCTCACAGGCCATTCTCGCTCACACCAGACAATGGCCATAACGTCGTCAACGCATTTCACATTCTCCCCACCTAGAGCCAAAAAAAAAAAAAAAAAAAAAAAAAAAAAAAAAAATCCCCACCTGGAACGCGTTATCCGGGCAGGTGTCAAGAAACTTCTGCAGGGCGGTGGCCTCTTTGGCGAGGGCGGGGTGCAGAGGGATGGTGGGCGCGGGCAGCCACACCAGCATGAAGTCCGCAATGAGAGCCATGATCTGGTGGCGGGACGGGGTGCAGTGCGGTGGAGAGGGGTAAGAAGTGGTGGAGCAGAGTATAAATCGTCAGGATGACTAGGGGTAGTTAGCCTGAGAGCATCGGGTGGAGAGGGATGGTGGGCGCAGGCAGCCACACGAGCATGAAGTCTGCTATCAGCGCCATGGGTGACACAGTGGATTTCAGTGCGGTGGAGAGGGGTTATGAGTGGTGGAGCGGGTCTGGATCGCCATGGTGACCGGAGGTAGTTAGTTTGAAATTATTGGGTGCAGAGGGATGGTGGGCGAGCATGAAGTCCGCAATGAGAGCCATGATCTGGTGGCGGGACGGGATGCAGTGCGATGGAGAGGGATGAAGAACAGGGCTTGGGTCGTCAGGATGACAAGGGGGTGTGTTAGTCTAGGAGCACTAGGTGAGGTAGGATGGTGTGCCGGAGCAGCAACACGAGCAATGCGTCTGCTACCAGAGCAATGGTCTCCTGGCATGCTGGGGTGCAGGCGGTGGAGAGGGATAAGAAGTGGTGGAGAGGGCACTGGGTGCGGTGGGATGGTGGGGGGAAGGGGCAGCCACGCGAGGTTGCAGTCAGCTACGAATGCCATGATCCGGTTTGCAAAATGTGGAGAGGGATGGTGGGTGGCTGAGTGCGGTGGGGGAGGTGAGTGGATTCAGAGAGGGTCGTGGTCTAGGGAGAAGTGGAGGAAACAGCCTCAGAGAAATTAATCAACGTGGGGGGGAAGGTGAGGGGGAGAAGGGGGGAGGGGAGGGCGGGGGTGGGGGGAATGTTGAAAGGGAACACGGGAAACTGTACGACGAGGATAAGGGAATGGGCGAATGGGCCCAAGAGGAGGTGGATCGGAGGGAGGAGGTCACGTGAGGACCGGCACAGGGGGCAGCAAGGAAATGTTTGATCGGAACGCTGACATGGTCGTCTTTTTGAAAGCAATTAAGCACCAGTAGTTGGCTACCACGTAAGAATCTCTCGCCACGTCAGCAGCTGCTTACCACGTCAGCAATGACGAAGTCGAACTCGGGGAAGAAGGCCCCTCGCCGCCTCTCCAACTCCGCCGAGGTCTGCCGACGACGGGGGAAAGGGGGAGCGAGGCGTCACGGGGGAGAAGGGAGGCGAGACACTAAGGATGCAAGCATTCGATTAAAGCAGCAACGGGCAACCTTAGGTGGAGCTAGCCTGAAAAGCCCGGTTACCCCGTCTTCCGCAGACGAAAACGCTTGCGAGAGAGGTCCGGTCTCAAGGCGTTCTGACCCAGGAGTTTTGACTCAGGCGTTTTGACTCAGGCGTTTTGACTCAGGCGTTTTGACTCAGGCGTTTTGACTCAGGCGTTTTGACTCAGACGTTTTGACTCAGACGTTTTGACTCAGACGTTTTGACTCAGGCGCCGCAGAACGAACATGAGGTTGCAGGTGAAGCCATTCAATAAGGGGTGAAGCCCTTGCGATCCAGGCACAGCGTCAACCGACGGACGATCCGTCTAACCAATCATAACTTCTTAGTCTGCTCAAAATTCATCGAGAATTGTCCAACACCAACCCTTCAAATTGTCGGATCAAAAGCAAGCAATTGGATTCAGATTGCCGTCGCACCTTGGTGCAGATCCCAATGAGGTAACTGCTCAAAAGTCCATCTAATCAATGTCAGATTGCAGTCGCACCTTGGTGCAGATGCCAATGCCGCATTCGATCGCGACCTTGGTCATGAACAGATCGTCTGCCAGCAACCGTTCCTTAAACCCGCCGAACCGCAGCAAATACCCCAGCACCACTGTGTTCTCCATCTCCGCGTACCGCTCCACCACCTCCCCGGGCACGCGCCCGCGCGCAATTGCGTCCGCCAGGTCGGCGGGAAGGCTGTCCGCGGACCGGCCCAGCCGCGCCAGCACCGCGGCGCACTCCTCCGCATTCTCCTGCGACGCCGCCGTGCCGAGAACCGCTGCCGCGCCGTCTGGTGTAAGCTCTGGCGTCATTGCACTTCCGGCGGCGGCGGGAGCGAAGCCCGCGCGATCGCGCTTATTACTACCTCCGCGTCCTGCTTCCGCCGCTACTCCGTTCTCCCCTCCAGGAACTCTCACAGAAAGGAACGACTTTTGCCGCGCCGGCCCGAACGCGGACCCGCTGGGAGAAAGGCGCGATCGAGCGACTGAGGGTCTTAGGGTTCGGGAGGGTTGTGCTCGCAGCGGGAGGGTGGGGGGAAATGATTGAGTGACTCCGCGTTGACCGCATGGCTGGCGTGAGAAAGCTGGGCGCGGGGAGACGGCGGCGAATTGACGGATAGTTGTTCCGCGAAGAAAGGTTTGCTTAGCAGCTATGTCGGCGGCCATGACTGACAATGCGCACGAGATTACGCAATTGCGGGGTATTTAGGGAATATGCAAGAAATTTTCAACAGCTATGCAGTCCGATGTCACAATAACTGCTAGGCACGATTAGTGCTAGGCCACGATTAGCAGCCAGTTCGAATAAGCGGCTACTGCTGCTTGTGTCTGCTCCCCTCAAGCACTAACGGGGAGGAACGGGGTCGGCGGTCGAAGGGAGACGGGAAAATTGGTGACTTCCCAATGAGTGACCGATAAGGGAAGAGCAAGGAAGTGTGGTGGATTGGTGGATTTGTTTGGCTGCTGCTGCCCTGGCAGAATATTCTGAGCGTGAATGGATGACGAACGAGTCTACTGTACGACCAACAACAGCGATGGAAAGTCGCGAGGGGCGGGAGGTGCTGGTTGGTTGGAAGCGCGCGGGGGAGGTGCCTGGTTTGGGAGGAAATGGGACGAAGCAGAAGACGAAGCTGGCCTCTGGCTCGGATGCCTAACAGGTTTGTCGGTTTCTTTCAGGTCAGAAGGGACTCGTCTCGCCGCTAGCTTTGTGGTCAGAATGCTAGAGGACCATCCCAATGGGCAGGCCAAATCTTGTACTTGGCAAGGTTTTCATGGCTTTGTGGTCCTTCCCTTGCCAGGCTCCCGCCAAATTGGTGTCAAGATCAGACTCGGCTCGGCCCTCCGTCGGGTTCCTAGCCTGCTTGGTCGCGCGCGGCTTGATCAGCTTGTGGTCCGAAGCGCATCTTCAGAACGTGGATATTGTGGCGCTAGGGATTGGCTAATCCAAAAATCAACCAACTACACATGATGCTCGTTTGACTAACCCGAGGTTGCCTTGTGAAGGGGGCTTGTAAATGATTTCAAAAATTTCGCCAGTTCGCAGCTAGCAAATATGGATTCGTCAGGTGCTTATAAGGGCTCATATGAAAATTTGTAACAATTTGACTTCAGTCTCTTCGGTCAAACTTCAGTTTCTGTGGTTCGTATTGGTTAATATCACTGCAACTTGCTCGGCGCGCTTATAACGTGGGGGCAACTGGCTGGTAAAAAAACCACGGGTGCAAGGTTTCCGCCCGGCGCAGGGCAAATTCGCGTGCAGGGTGTGAGCATCATGTGTATAACCGGCGACATCTCTCATCCTCGACGACGCACGTGGTACGTGACATATCAGAAGGCACATTACTGACGTGGCCGTACCCATGTGCCCCTCGCTTCTAGGAATTCTTCGCTATTATCATAGTCGTCCCAAGTGTCTAGCGCTGCTCCTGCAAAGCTGCTGCAACAAGTATGTTTGTGCCCTAACATAAGCTGGGTTTGCCAATAAATTTCATTATCTTTACAAGGAATGCCATACATGATACAACCCGCACGGCCCATGGACTGAGGCGGGGTCCTTGCAACAAGACCACCTTAGCTGCACATCGTGCAGCCTTATTTCCATACCCCCATAAATAACAACCCTCATACTACAAGCAACCAATCACAACCTTGCAGGCAATCTGTAGCTTCCATTCCATACCCCACAAGCAGCAGAAGATACGGTAATCTGTGCATCTCCTGGCATCTCCCCGTTCTAGAGCTCCCTCAAGGCCTTTTCCGTGTTGTCATCATAGCAGCCCCCTCATACTTCACTCTGAACAACACGCAGTTTCTCTTGCTGTGGAAATTCGCTCGCTGGCTGTTTCCCTTGACACGCATAGGCAAGCCAAACGCGTCTACTGTGACTGACCTCATTCGCAACCTCACCACCACGCCTTCCGCTGTTTGGGCCGCTGCCAGCCAAGCCATGTCACCGCTCACTCTCGTGTCATCGTATCTCAGGTGGCCGTCTGGAGTCAGCTTGAATGTGAACCTTGGGAGTGTCGCGTTCTTCTTCTGCCCTCCCAGACACATGATCCGCGACATGTCAGCCACTGTGTCAGATAAATCCAAATTTGTCCCGCGTAAGAGGGCCACGAGTGTACCAGGCTCCAGGTTCGCATCGTACGCTGTCTTGGGGCGAAACGCCTGCTTGGATGCAGCGCTCGTGGTACCAAGAGCGGGGAGTGTGATTGTAGGGAGTTCGGATTCGTACCCCTCGAAAACAAAAGAGCACATCTCGGGAGTGGGCGGGCAGCTGAACTTCACGCCTCCAGGGCCAGGCGGCGGGGTGGAAGGAGGAGGAGCCGAGGGAGGCGCGGGAGGGGGCGGAGAGGGGGGAGGGGGGGGAGGAGGGGAACGGTAATAATCGCCGTCGTCATTGTCGTCGCCATTGTTGTCGCCATCGCTGTCGTCATTGTCGCCGTCGTGGCTGTCGCCGTCACTATCGTCGTCATCCCCTTTCTCGCGTTCATTCCCATGACGACAATCGTCAAAATGCCTGTTGCCTTTCGTCTGCTTGACCTTCTTAGCCGAGGAGGATTCAAGTCTGTCTTTCTGCTCACTTGATCCTTGCTTCGCCTGCTTCTTTTCTTTCTTCGCCTTCTTCTCTTTCTTCACCTTCTTTTCCTTCTTTCCATTCTTTTCCTTCTGCTTCAATGGACTGTCGACCACGGACTCCGCACCCTCCGTCCGCTGCCCTTTCTGCTTCAGCGCCTTCGTCTTCTTCTTCTTCTTCTCCTTAATCTCTGGCTTCTTCTCACTGCTGGATCCGGCAAACGTAATCCCGTCGTCCTCTTCCTCGCGCCCGTGCGTGTTCTTATTCTTCTTCGATCTCATTTGCCGCGCAAGGTCCACCTTTTGCAGCTCGTTCTCGCTCTCACTCCTCGGCTTTAAGCGTCGCCGACGGACCACGCTCGTCGCGCGACTCAAATCTTTCGACGACCTTGTAAGCATTCGTCCATGGGCATGCTCTGCGACATTGTTCGTGGCGGTCGCAGGGACGGATATTTCAGCATGCGGACTCTCGGCGTCGCAGACAGCGCTTGCCACCGCGAGGAGTGCGACCAAAGCGATGAAGATACGTGGCGAAGCCCGAGCTAAACTGCAAAACCTGTTGGCCAATGATCCCTCGCGATCCATTAGACCGATAAACTGCTCCACATTACAGGGTCGACCTATTCGCTGTTCGTGCACAGCTACGGAGCTAATGACAACATCTGTTCCCTGAGGACGTACTTATTCTCTCCCCGTTAGGCTTTGTGTTCCGTTACTTTTACGTGTGCTTCCATCGTGTCACGGAAGTGCGCCCTTCCCTGAGCAGCAGCCAGCCGCGCATTGAGAGCGACAGCCCCTGTTTTTGACGGCGCCCTCCCGCTGTCAGCCAAGCTGACTGGAGCAGGATCCCCTTCCATCCTTCCGCTGCGGCGAAATCCACGGTCCAAATCGCCTCCCCGCCGTCAGAAAGAGTTGGTTGCAACCTCCTCCTCCGATCTCAAGGCGCAGGTGGAGCAGGTGAACCTGGAACATGTTTCAACACAACGGCAGCAACGAATTCTAATGACCGCTGGTCACCTGTAAGTTTCAAAGCATCACTAACTGGCACTTCGGGAGAACACTGACAAGATATAATAGTTGCACTGGGTGTGCTTCTGAAGCGTACGTACAAGCTGGAGTGTTGTCTCGCTTTTCGAGGTACACGGAGCGTATGTCACCTTGGAACAACATCGATAGTTGATCAGTTGACAAAAGAGTTTGCTTTTGAAGCGTATATCCAAGCCCAGATGTTGTCTCCTCTTCTTCAGATGCCCAGGATCTCGAAGTGTGGAACACATCCCCGATGGATAAAAAAAGGCTCCCAGATAGCTGGAAGGGTCAAGCTAAGCAACCGCCCAAACTGACTTGTCGACAGCTCATGCCGCAAACGAGATGCCTCATGGAGGTGTGGGGCACATCCACTTTCACGGGAACATATCTAGCAGTCACTTTCCGCCACGTGGATACACCTCTTTCCTAGTGGTCAATGACGGCAATCACCCTAACTTCTGTGCACGTAGGCAAGTGAGTCCTTTGCGAACGGTGCTTGAAGGAAGTTTTACGGAGTCGCGCGAAATTGAGAAATCTCTTCCAGCCATACGAACCAGTACAGTTTGTGGTGGGAGTAGCTTGGGGAGAGCTTCCAGAAGCGGGAAAGTTGTTTGGGGAAATTTCAAAGGCTTTGTTTGAAGCCCAGGAGGTCAGGTGCAGAAATCTTCCTTTTCATTTCCTCCCACGTGGCACTTAGGATAAAGTGAACCACGGGTCTTGGAGTCCACGCGACGCCTTCCGAGGCTGAGTTGTGAAATCGCCAAAAATCACATTGGTCCAAGGTGTGTGTGTCGTCCACCCTGAGCTCGGAAAACCACCACCACCATCCACTTCAAAAAACAATTCCAAGGCAGCAGGTGCACGGGATGTTGTTGACCACCAACCAGGCTTTGCCTTCTCCTCGCTTTGCCAGAGGCATTACTGCGTTCATTGCACCAGTCAACCACATAAATCTAGCTTCTCAGGTCGTCTATAGTACTGCACTTGTTCGCTCTCCGCCGTCTCCACATCGACCCACCAACATTTCCATAGTTCGCTGGACCGGTTCATTGTCCCAATCTTTAGCCACTACTACTCATAATAAGCATCCGCACAGATGGGGTTGGAAGAGGATCTGGCGATCTCGCCGGTCACATCGACCGCAATCGGCGGGTTAGCAGGTGTCATAGAGGTGCTGCTGCAGCAGCCGCTGGTCACGTGGAAAAACGCCGTCCAGGACATGAGACCCGTCCCGCTGCACCCCAGATTACTCTATCGCGGAGTGGCCGTGAACGCGGCGTCCATTGCGCCGATTAACGGGTTCCAGTTCGGCGCGAACACCTTTCTAGAAGAGTGGTTAGCGGCGAGGGGACAATTGACTGACACCACGCGGACGGGAGCGGCGACGGCGGCGGGTGCTTTATCAGGGATAATAACGGGTCCGGCGGAGCTGCTGATGATCCAACAGCAGAAGTGGGGAGGATCGCTGGGCGCTAGACTACGAGATGTCGTCGGAGAGCACGGCGTCTTCGCCCTCTCAAGAGGAACGGTACGCTGGACGCTGTTTTTGGACATTGGATGTT